TGTATGCATGGGCATACATGTATATTTAGATGTTAATATATATACATATATATTAAGTTGTCATGGGTGTTACTTTAATGATGTCTCCTGTTCTGTTATAACTTCCATTACTATCTATAGTCTTTTTTTTATTTTTTTTTTATTTACCCATTATTTTAAATTACTTGCTTATTAGGTGTTTGTATGTATTCAGTTATTTTTATATATTTATTTATGTATTTATTTATTTTTATGTATATATCATTTATATTTTGTGAATTGATATAATTATAATTACATATAGTATATATATTGTATATTTTTTTATTACTATAGTTATTATTCTATTTTATAGTATGTGTATGTATATGTATATTTATTGTTATATACTTATTAATATTTTTTATTTATTATTTTATCTTATTTTATTCATATATTTTCTTGTATCTCAACGATGATTTGTGTAGAGATTGTGATTGCTTTATGTTTAGCTACATTGATGCAGCCGATCCAACAAGGCAAGTGGTACAAGGAGTAGCACAGTGGCGTATTTTGCAAACCAGAGAGGAATGAGTGCAGTTGGTGGTGACTTGGGGAGGGAGGGAGGGATGTTTTGTGTTTGTGTTTGTACTGTTTAAAAGAAAAATGGAAATAAAAAAATGTTAATCATAAAAAAAAAACAAAAAACTGTCAGTGTTTGATTTAGGTGAGTGTGTGTGTGTGTGTGTGAGTGTGTGTGTGTGTGTTTTTGTGTGTAAACCTTCTCACCTCCTCACCCTGCAGCTCGTTCTCACACACTGCTCACATTGTTTGGTTCCGTTATGAGCGTCTGGATGGACTCCAGTGAAAACAGTGTGAAGGACGAGATGGTAATCTATTTACCCACATTCTGGAGGAGGGAGGGGCTCGCCACGGCGCTCTGCAGAGGAGGAAACCATTAAACACTTTCTGCACGCTGATGGAGAAACCACATTTCCAGCTCGGAGCTGCAGGTTCTGGAGCGGTTCTGGAGCGGTTCGTCCTGATTGGATCACATGACGCTGACGCTCATTCAACAGGAAGGACAGCGTGAGCGCAGGAGAGCGGCTCAGACCCTCTAATGGGACGTTTGGAGGCACCCTTAGACCCCCCCCCCCCCCCACTGTGGTATACAGTAAAATTATGGTCCCATTAAGGCGGGGGAGGGGAGGCGGGGGCTGATGGTGGTTAGGTTTCAGGGTCTAACTGCCGGCGTGATGCTATCTGCTCAGACTCAGAGGAGCTCAGGAGACCCACATCCAGCAGCAGACAGATCGGTGCCACCAGGTCCGGAACCAGTAATGGACTAATGAGCTCCCAAACCCTCAAATCAGAGTCTGGAGTGAGGACCACGTCCCCCCCGACTCCTACTGCACAGCTCAGCAAGGTGGAACCAGCAGGAACCTCCAGACCTCCTGTTATCAGAGGCCGACAGGTAAGGGGACCAATGAGGCGAACAGGGGGCGGGGCTAAGACAGAAATCTTCATACTTCGAAAAAGCAACACAGACGACAGGAACAGCAACGCCACACACTCATGAAGGACAAAGTGGACCGGTCTGGGTCACATGACTCCGTGAAGTGGGAGGTGGTCAGAAGAGAAAAGGACAAATGAGACTCTGGTTTGATGGAAATAAATGATCTTTAAATATTAAAAAACAAACTTTATACTGTTGGGTAACAAAGACGAACACACTGATGCTTCAGGAAATATTTATCGTTTAATAAAGTAAATGAAATAAAATGTTTTTATTGATAATAAATTGACCTGAAAATCAGATATTAGTGGAATAAAAGTAAAGAAGCAAAAATGATCTCTATGTTAAACAAAGTAAAGGACGACTTAGATAATAATAAAGATCTTGTATAATCGGATTATTGATCCATATCTGACCTGCTGTGTTGAAGTGTGGAGACGTGCAGCTAAAACTTCCATCTGGACAATTTTTAATTTACAAAAAAGAACAAAACGAATTATTAGTCAAAGTCGACACAGAGATCCTTCAGACTTATTATTTGTTAAACTGCAGTTGTTGAAATTCAGTGAGTGAGTAGATTTCAGGATGTTGCAGATTATTTATTAAGGAACTTTTTACCGGTCAACAAAGAGAGAGTTTATTATTATTTAAAAGGATTTAAAATATTTAAAAGAATTAAAGTGACGGAGCGCTGAGTTACAGAGAGAGGACGAAGTCTGTGGAACAATCTGAACAAAGAAACTAAAGAAGCTCAATCTTTAAAAAAGAGTCAGTCTGTCGAGTAAAAACAAACAGGTCTGTGTCTGTCTGTGAACTAACCTGGTCGTTTGTTTTTGACTGTAAAAAAACATGTCGTCCTGCAGCTCTGGTTTATTTTGATTATTCTGTGTTTAGTTGATGAAGATTTTATTAAAGAGGTTCAGACACTAGAAGAGTTTTCTTCTTTCTGCTCCTTTTATTCACATGTTTGAGGTTTTTAATTGTTTGTATTGAAGGTTTTAAAGATTAACTAAATAAAATAAAGTGTGACACACAGGACTGTCCAACACATCAGAACTTTAACGTGGATAATAACCCGTGAGTCACTCAGATCCATCAGACCCTCCACTCAGAAAAGGAACCGCAGAAATGGACAGAAACACTGAGAACTGCAGTTCCTCCAGTGTCCACTAGAGGCATGTTAAAAACCCACATGTTAACATCTGGACCGGTCTGGGTCTGTGCTGATGAGCTGGATCTGGGCTCAGGTGAACCTTCATCGATCTAACAGGTGGGCAGACTCTTGACCGTCTCATCGAATCGCTGATGTTGGAGGTGCGACCGTCGAAGCTGCAGACCGACGTCCTGCTCCGCTGTCATCAGCGTGTCATGGCGGCGGAGCCCACAGCTGGGCCACATCAATCCCTCATAAACGTTGCAAAACTGAGATTTGTTTACAGGAGAAGCTGAACATCATTAGAGAGACCGTTGGCCTGGTCCACTCCATGACCCCCCGGGCCGTCCTCTGGCTGTTCCTGCTAACGTAAACGAGGCTACAAAGAGGCGTGGGCGTCATGTAAACCGCCTGTTGTCTCGCTGACACCCACAACAAACCCAGCCCTCCATCATCCTCCAGAACGAGTGTTTCCACAACCCCAAACACAGCCGTTCGTTTCTGACACATCAGGACAAATTACAAACGGGTCCTTCCTGTGAGCCGAACAGGCGGCGTGTTCGGAGACTAGAGGCGGAGCTGCTGCCAGGAACTCGCCATATGGTGAGGGTTAGCGGGGTTTGATTTATGTATTTCTGCTTAGGAGGGAATCAGGTTTATGTTTACTGCTCTGATGGACTGGACGGATAAATATTTACATGCAGACGGAGAGTCCTTCTTGGCGTTTATGACGGCCCGGATCAGGACGGATGGAGGATTTCATAAACACGCCATTTTTTTATGAAACAGAGTTTATCCAGAACAAACTCTGTCTGTTTGTTTTGAAACTGGATGTCACCGTGTCCCTAAAGAGCCACCATACATATCACCCCCCCCCCTCTGAGGACACGCATCAACTCAATCTAAACGACATGCAACATCCCAGACCCCCCCCCCCCCCGCCGCATTAACCCCGGAGAAACAGGAGAGCGCCGACATGCCGAGCTCAGCTGACCCCGCCGCAGCAGTCTGAGGTCAGTGTCGAGTTTCTGAGTGGAGGTCGTCCACTCAGCACACAGAGTGGATTCATTGTGGGGTAACAGGCGATCAATGGTCCATTGCATCAGATAAGCAGCTGACTGGGTGGCGGGGTGGATTCCCCTTCAGGACTGGAGGGTAAACAGAGAGTCCAGACTCACCTGAATGTTCAGGGACAATCAGAGCTTTTCACGGCAGCAGCCAGGTGAGCAGGAGGGGTCGCCGAGGGGTCGCCGAGGGGTCGCCGAGGGCTGAGGAGGCAATAAAGAGTCTGTGATTAACATGAAAATAACCCAGCTGATGGATAAACTCAGAGTTAGACGGGCTCAGTGTGTGTGTGTGTGTGTGTGTGTGCAGCAGGACGTTTGTATTCAAAAGTCTGACGGTGTTGGAGGACGAAGTGAAGGGTGCAGATCGGCGATGATTGGATGAAACTTTGTGTGAATGAGTGAACATCATGAATCCTCTGCAGATCTAGAAGTGAACTGATGAAATTCTCCTGAGTCCGACACTGACCTGCTGATTTCTGCAGAGACGTCTTCATGAGCTCCACACGTTACAGAGAGTCCCTTTAAATGAACTCTCTCACTGAGACTCTGCAGCTGAAGTTTATATTTTCATAGTTCAGTTTTTTGGTTTTATATTTTTATATTTCCGTTTATATTTTGTTTATATTTTTTCATGTTTCAGTTTTTTTCTGTTTATATTTTTATATTTCAGGTTTTTTTGGTTTTATTTCAACAGTTATGTTTTTTTCTGTTTATTTTTTTTTCAATATTTCAGTTTTTTTATTTAAATTTTCATATTTTCGTTTTTTGTCTTTATTTACATATTTCATTTATGTTTATATCTTCATATTTTTGGGGGGTTTGTATTTTAAAGTTTCAGTATTTTCTGTTTATTTTTTTCATGTTTCATTTTTCAGTTTTTTTTCTGTATATATTTTTACATTGTAGTTATTTTGGTTGATATTTTCATGTTTCAGTTTTTTTCTGTTTCCATTTTCATATTCAAGGTTTTTTTTTATGTGTCTGTGGAAATGTGGAGTGTACATACATACTTTCAGACTTATTCACTCGCTCCAGTTTTTGGTGTGTTTTCATTTGACTTTGACCTCTCAGTGCCCATGACCTCATGCTGTGAGCTCACACACAAACACACACACACACACACACACCTGCACCCACTCAGGTTCAGTCTACATGTTTCTCATCTCATGAAGAATCAGGACCAGTTCATGATTTAGAGACGGTCCCTGCTGAGTTTGGATCAGACGACGGCTCCGTCACAGTTTCATGACGCAGTGCTGGATCTGAGTGAGTGTGTGTGAAAACCGCCCCGGGCTGGACAGCAGTGTGTGTGTGTGTGTGTGTGTGTGTGTGTGTCATGGCGTGGCCTCTTCTGCATTCCTCTGCATGATGTCCTCAGGCTCAGTCACACACTGAAGAACAATAACATTCTCACACACACACACACACACACACACACACACACACACTCACACACACACACACTCACCCTGTTTTCTGCTGAACTTGAAGTTGTGTGACTCTTTCACAGAAACTGCTGCTGTGGCGAGTGGGCGTGGTCAGAGAAAAGGTCAGACCTGCCGTGGACGCAGGAACCTGATCCTCGAAGTGAATGAAAGCTGGACTGAGTCACATCGGACTTTCCTGGTCCAGTTTGAACCTCATCAGTGATGAACTGAGTTCACAGTCGATGGTTTCTGAGTCGATGCGGTGATTTCCACTCCAGAGTCCAGTCTGTGGGGTGCCGCAGCTCAAGGAAGAACATTTATGATCATTTCTTCATGGAAATGCAATCAGACCGAGACGCTAAGACAGAAGAACTACAGCGTCTGTAAAATGATCAATATGATGATTATTACTTCAAGGAAATGATAAAGAAATGATCATAAATGTTCTTCCTTGAGCTGCGGCACCCCGCTGTAGTCAGTAATGGACTGGCCTGAGGTCTCTCTACAAACAAGCGTCTGCTGGAAGAGAGTAGGTGAGTTGTGTTTAGTCTCTTTGCTAAAGAAATGAGTCAAAGTTAAAAAGATGTTTGGTCAGAACCATCCAGTCGTGGTTTTGGTCCTCGTCTCTTTAGAACAGAGATTTCTCCAGATCCTCTTTCGATGATGAAATCCACTCAGGATCTTTATTCTGCTGAACTGTTAACTCACGCGGTCCAGGGTTCGGATCACCCAGGTTTAGATCTAGGTTGTCCTTTTTTTTTTTTTCCCCTCCAGACGAGGAGACAGAATTAGATAAAGAGCTTCATTCAGGGCGGACTTGGTTACTAAACTCTTTGGGACGTCCCGTGTTCGCACCTGAAGACAAACACAGTCGGAGGAGTCCGGACTTGTTGAGGACGAACAGAAAAAGCTGCTGCTGACATTTTCAGCAGGGTGGGATAAAAAAAGAACAAGTCGACTGAAGCTCCTCCAAAAGGTTTATTTATTATCTCTAATTCTGCCCTGCAGCGTGTGTGTGTGTGTGTGTGTGTGTGTGTGTGTGTGTGTGTGTGTGTGTGTGTGTGTGTGTGTGTGTGTGTGTGTGTGTGCGTGCTCTGCAGCACCCACTCATGATGGGAACACCCGGTGATGGCATGAAGTCCTGCAAGACGGCACATGTATCCTCTGCTGGAGAGGAGCCCAACTTTCTATTTCCCAAAGACTGAAAGAGAGAAAAATCCTCTTTGTCTGATGAAATAATCGCTGAATCGTCACTTTTACAGTCAGACCCCCCCCCCCCCCCCCCACACACACACACACACACACACACACACACACACACACACACACACACACACACTTAAATCATGAAGTCATCCTCTCCACTCACAGAGTTTGAGAACAGAACAGCAGAGACCGCCAAAAATCAGGAACATCCAGGATCCACCTGTTACAGCAGCCAATCAGCTCAGAGCAATGTCAGCTGATCGGGTCAGAAAACCCGGATCTGGACCCAGAGGAGTAATCTGGGGGGGTTAGTCTAAAACCGCGGAATAACTCTTTAACCGTGTGTCTAAGAATAAAACTCAAGCACGCAAAATAAAAGATCTTGTTAAGATACATGTGCCTGTAAAATTTCGGGCAGCTCAGAAAAAGTCGACGTTCGTGGCGCTCTGTAGGGGGCGATAGTGAGCCATTTTTAATCAATTTTTTGGGTCACTTTAAAACATTGAGAGTTTTTGAGGCTGTTCAGGGGGGCAAATTTATGTTTTCGGGCGGCGTAAAATAATAATAATAATTTCAATAATAATTTCAATAATAATTTCAATAATAATAATAATAATAATAATAATTTTAATAATAATAATAATAATTTCAATAATAATAATAATAATAATAATAATAATAATAATATTATATATGTGTGTTTATTGTAGCTCCACAGTAAATCTGGGGTCTGCAGATGAAACCCTGGATTTGAGAGTTTTCTGGTTCGTTGAGGATCTTCTTCATCTGAATCGTCGTTTCCTCTGAACATGAGCTGAGGTGATGATCTGATGGTACTCCTGGTTGTGATATTTTGTTTGGAAGGATGGTAGGGGAAGGTCCCGCCTCCTTTGCCTCTGATTGGCTAAAAAAGCTGGAAACGTCGTCACAACGAATGAACACCGAACAGAACATTATCGCAATTCTGAATCTCCAAACCTGACAGACGTTTCACACTAAGGAATAACCAATCGGAGACCAGCACTTTTAGCCAATCAGAAGCGAAGGAGGGCGGGACCTTCCCCTACCATCAACCTCCTGGTCCTGGCTGATGGGACGCAAACTGGTCATTAGGAAGCCAAAAACTGCAGTTTCTCTCATGACCACTAGGGGCTGTCAGTCCCAATCGAGCCCTGTGTCCAAAGGTCCGACTGAGCAGCAGAAATAAACATGTTTACAGTCCGGGTCAGAAACAGTTTGGGTCTTTAGTCTGTCAGTCAGACCACCGGAACTACGGCGTCCCCACTCTGAACATCAGTGTGGGTCAGAAGTCCTCAGAAGTGATGTAAACACGCACACTACACTGCTGCCATTACACACACACACACACACACACACACACACACACACACTCCAGTCTGGGTCCCGCCAACAGGACCCGAGCAGGAAACTATGGTCCCTCAGACACGGACTCAAACTCTGAAACATGTAAAATAAAAACAGGACAGTGAACCTCATGCTGGTCCAACAGGAGAAGAAGACAACCTGGAGAAGAGCCAATCAGACGCCGGCGTGCAACGGCGTTCTGATGTGTGCAGACGGCGACCCGGTTAATCACCTCTGTGAAGTCTGTTTGGGTCACATGGGGCCAGCCGACGCTTATGGGCAGGTGATGACAGGACTATGGAGACACACACACACACACACACACACACACACACACACACACACAACATGAACAACAAACAACACGTTTCCACTCAATAACACACACTTCACACCAATCTCACACCCTGAGATTGTGACAGACTGAGACAGAGAGAGTGACACACACACACACACACACACACACACACACACACACACACACACACACTGGGCCCAGTCTGCAGACATAACTGTAACACAATATGAACACACAAACACAGTTCTCAACATTCGACCTCTGACCCCACAGGACCAGTTCTTCCTGTTTAGGGTCAAAATCTAGACCAGAGGTACCAGGAACCTTCAGATCCAGGAACCAAAGAGTTCCTGTCTGCTCCAGGTCCAGATCTCTCTCCATCCGTCTTCTCTGACTTTGATGTTCGTACGAACTCATTATGAAAACACACATCTGTACGTCTGCGGTACGGTGGATAAATGAGGACCCTGGACTTTTTCAAACTCCAACCTTCTCTCCAGAACTTTTCAATAACCTGAATAAGAACCCTGGAAATCAAAACCCTGGTTCCTGGTTTCGAAACAAACACAGTCCTAAAGGTTCCTCAAAGGTTCCTAAAGGTTCCTGAAGGTCCAGGAGGAGTTCCTGCGGTGGAGAAGCACCCTCACCTCCTTCGTCCGGTCATTTACAGTCAGCAGCAGGGTTGTATGAAAAGTCTGTTCATCAGTATTTCTCCAGCACTGATCCGACGGTCCTGGACCGGATCCCCGGAGCGTCTGTTGGAAGAACGAGGAGCAGAGATGGACCGCCGCCCTGGCATGTGAAGTGTTTGTGTCGTCTGCTGCAGCCAATCACTGATGAGGACTGTCTCTGCGGGGCCACAGAGGAGCTACAGTTACCCCGTGACTAATGCACTGTCCCCTCACTTCCTCCGCTCTCATCAGCGCCTCCTTCTCGAACCCTCGACACTCGTCTCCTGAGGGTCCGCCGCAGGATTTCACACCAAGTCACAAGGTCGCACCTGTAAACAGGACACGTTGGAGCACAACTGTGAGGTCAAAGGTCGGTTCGATCTGAGCGCTGTGGGACGGAGTGATGAGGTGAGCTGGATCAGAGACACAGAGTCAGGTATCAGTCCAAATCCCGGCTCATCCGGACCGACCCGGTCCAAAACATGAGACACACCTCAGAGTGACATCCTTCAGATGATCTGCTCTGTGTTTTTCTCGCCTGTCTCTGAACACACACACACACACACACACACACACACACACACACACACACACGCACACACACACACACACACGCACACACACACACACTTTGGTTCATCCGGACTTTGAACTGGGATTAAATCTGAAAAGTTTTTTGGAGATTTTTCCACTGAGGAGAAAAACGACTCGGTCAGTTCTGGAGGATAAAGTCGCTCGGTGTCGTCGTCACGTCAGCGTGAAACTGTTTCACTTCCTGTTTAACACGGACTCTGCAGAGTCATCAATACAATCAGTTATTTTAATAAATCAGAACAACATCAGAACCAGAACAGCTGCGTAGAAACTGTGTCGGCGGGCCCCTTCACCTCTACGGGTCACCTAGTGGACAGTGGAGGAACTGCAGGTGTGTAATGTAGGTTGCGGTGTTCGGATGAGAGCGGAACATAAACCTGATGAGGAGCGGCGTCCTGGTTACAGAGATGTTTTACAGCTCGGAGGTAAAAACGCTGCGAACAGGTGGAGTGTTTGGAAACACGACACCTGAGTGTGTTCCCGTGGACACCTGAGTGTGTTCCTGTGGACACCTGAGTGTGTTCCTGTGGCCTACAGGTGTGTTTGTTTGCAGAGACCCGGGTGGAACCTGATCACGAGTGTGTGTGTGTGTGTGTGTGTGTGTGTGTGTGTGTGTGTGTGTGTGTGTAGTGTTGGGTGTCCGTGTTGTCTTGGGAATGTGTCGTGTTTCCATCTTCTGCAGGAATCTGAGCGTTGGGCTCGGCGAGCACGTGGACGCTCGGCCGGGAGGGAAAGGCCGTGATTGGCTGGAGAGAGAAAAGCAGCTCCGGTGACAGAGATCAGTTTCTCTGACACGGTTTCGCTCTCCGCCAACACGACGAAGTGAACGAGTCGTCCCACCACCGCCACTGTCTGATAATGAGCGGCGTGTGCGTACCTGTGAGGGTGAACGGGGGTTTCCAGCTCCGACTCTGTGAGGTCACGCTCAGGTGTTCGCTGAGAGGGCGCTTATGAACCTGTATCTGTGAATCTGAGAGTAACTGTAACCGTCTCCGTGTGACTGGAGCAGGTTAGAGCAGCCGGGTCGCTCCTCAGGTGAGCCACCGAGGCATTATGGGTAAGCTGATCCACCTGAGAACCGCCCAGGGAATTGTGGGTTATTGTGCGGAGCAGAAAAGCCGAACCCTGCAGCGTGTGTCGGCTGAATAAGAGCCACTTGTGCCATTTTACAGGAAGGACAAAAACAGCGGCTCAGGAGGAACCAATCGAATCAACAGGCTTTTCTTTCCCACCTGAGCCGTGACCTCGTGTACAAAACCTGCAATTATGTCTTCCTAACCCGCCTCTACCCTCCGTCAGACAACACCCAGATAACACCTCAACACCAAACACCACTGCTCCTCCACAAACACGAGAGCCGGTCCAGCTCAGAACAGCGCCACCGTCGAAAGCTTAGACCAGGGGTGTCAAAGTCAAATGGACGGAGGGCCAAATAAAAAATTTAGCTACAAGCCGAGGGCCGGACTGATCGAATGTTCATTGAAAATTTTTTAAATGACGCATATAGTCAAGTGAACCTAACTGAACCTACTGAAAACTTAACAAATACACTCACCGGCCACTTTATTAGGTATACCTGTCCAACTGCTCGTTAACACTTAATTTCTAATCAGCCAATCACATGGCGGCAACTTAGTGCATTTAGGCATGTAGACATGGTCAAGACAATCTCCTGCAGTTCAAACCGAGCATCAGTATGGGGAAGAAAGGTGATTTGAGTGACTTTGAACGTGGCATGGTTGTTGGTGCCAGAAGGGCTGGTCTGAGTATTTCAGAAACTGCTGATCTACTGGGATTTTCACGCACAACCATCTCTAGGGTTTACAGAGAATGGTCCGAAAAAGAAAAAATATCCAGTGAGCGGCAGTTCTGTGGGCGGAAATGCCTTGTTGATGCCAGAGGTCAGAGGAGAATGGCCAGACTGGTTCGAGCTGATAGAAAGGCAACAGTGACTCAAATAACCACCCGTTACAACCAAGGTAGGCAGAAGAGCATCTCTGAACGCACAGTACGTCGAACTTTGAGGCAGATGGGCTACAGCAGCAGAAGACCACGCCGGGTGCCACTCCTTTCAGCTAAGAACAGGAAACTGAGGCTACAATTTGCACAAGCTCATCGAAATTGGACAATAGAAGATTGGAAAAACGTTGCCTGGTCTGATGAGTCTCGATTTCTGCTGCGACATTCGGATGGTAGGGTCAGAATTTGGCGTCAACAACATGAAAGCATGGATCCATCCTGCCTTGTATCAACGGTTCAGGCTGGTGGTGGTGGTGTCATGGTGTGGGGAATATTTTCTTGGCACTCTTTGGGCCCCTTGGTACCAATTGAGCATCGTTGCAACGCCACAGCCTACCTGAGTATTGTTGCTGACCATGTCCATCCCTTTATGACCACAATGTACCCAACTTCTGATGGCTACTTTCAGCAGGATAATGCGCCATGTCATAAAGCTGGAATCATCTCAGACTGGTTTCTTGAACATGACAATGAGTTCACTGTACTCAAATGGCCTCCACAGTCACCAGATCTCAATCCAATAGAGCATCTTTGGGATGTGGTGGAACGGGAGATTCGCATCATGGATGTGCAGCTGACAAATCTGCGGCAACTGTGTGATGCCATCATGTCAATATGGACCAAGCTCTCTGAGGAATGCTTCCAGCACCTTGTTGAATCTATGCCACGAAGAATTGAGGCAGTTCTGAAGGCAAAAGGGGGTCCAACCCGTTACTAGCATGGTGTACCTAATAAAGTGGCCGGTGAGTGTATATTCCAATATGATCAGATAAATAAAGCAATATTTTCTTCTGGCTCTGTCAGTAATCTTTAATTTTCAACAGACACAAAAGACAAATTTCCTTTATATAAAAATCCCCATAACATGAACATTAAATGAAAGAAACCGGTATTATTCAAGGCACCATCAGTAGCCTATATTTTCTATTTTAGCAAAAGTGGGCTAAATTTACTTCAAAGAAAAAAATAATAATAGCAATTTTCTATCATCCACTCAACTGAAATATTTTTAAAATATAATTGGATTGAAATACAATAAAAACGTGTTTCGTTTCATAATGTCGTCTCAGATTATACTCTTTCAGTACCGCCACACTTTCTCCACACAGAAGACACACAGGTTTTCCAGCTACCTCCGTGAACATATACTCCGACTCCCACTTTGTTTGAAACCCCCGGTTCTCAGTGTCCACCTTCCGTTTTGCCATTTTTGATGGGTATCTGAAAGTTAATTTTACTGTTATGCTGACGACTGCTGTGCTAATAAATATTGAAATGAAGCAGCCTACTGCTCGGTGCGTCACCATTGCATTGTGGGAAATGTAGTATTGGTGCGTCTAAAAGATCTGCGGGCTGCCGGCTTGCTGCGGTCTGCGGGCCGGTTCTAATAATAAATCAAGATCATCCCAGGGGCCGTAAAAAACCTTCTCGCGGGCCGGATGTGGCCCGCGGGCCTTGACTCTGACATATGTGACTTAGACTGAGAAGAACTTCAGAGTCTTTGGTTCTCGACCCACAAGGAACATTTTTAAGGATCAGTGATGAGAAAGACGAGGATCTTCACCGAATCAAACAGGCAGACGGCTTCAGCGTGGAGAGAAACAGACATCCTTTATATAAAAGTTTAAAGACGTTAAAATCTGTTTTATCTACAGACGAACGACAGGAGAGGATCAGACAGAAACTGATGATCAATAAACTTCAATAAAACAAAATTCAATTATAATAAAACTAAACAAGTACAGATACAAGTGGACCGAGTGGAAGAGATGTTTGTGAATCTGTCACGACTACGACCGACACACTTCAGAGTTTGAGGTGATTTAAAAGTGTGTGTCCTTGTGGTCGTTGTGTATCTGAGTGTGTGTGTGTGTGTGTGCGTGCGCGTGTGTGTGTGCGAGGAGACCCGAGACAGATGTGGGTGAGGGTGGAAAAGAGAGTGTCCGTCAAACCCGTGTCTGTGTGGGTGATAGTCCTGTTTCTCTCTGAGGGCGCCGCCGTGTTTACGACCACGGCTGAAACTTCTGGTGATGTCACAGATATGAGGAAGTTGTTTTTTTGGTGAATCTGAGTGACTGAGGATCAGCTGGTCCGGGTCCAGAGTCCCTCACTCTTTTGGACCTGTTCGAGGTTTGAGGGTCACATGTTCGGAAACGTCTTCATGTAGTTTGGGTTCATGATGAGCCGTCTGAGGGCGGACTACAAACCAGACGCCATTTCACCCCGATGACACCATGGATGAGGAGATGCTGATTCTAGAAGTCTAGAAGTAGATTTCCTCCTCTGGAAGGACACAATCTACTGCTTATATGTCTATGTGTCTGTCTTTAGAGAGACAACTTGTTATCGTGTGATTGGACGTCAATCTGAGGGTTCTTGTGATTGTCCGTAATCCGCCACAAAATTCGCCTCACAAACGGATCCCTTAGGAATCGGCGTTGAAGACTCTACAGTGGAAGTCTACGCACAGATTTACATAAAAAAGTGCTGTATCAGCTGTTCTGCAGGACGCCTGAACGTCGTCATGGACGTCTACACCTGCAGAACACACTCATGTAACACACGTGTGATTTAGGACACGGGCTTGTCAATACCTGTAACCGCTCTGCTGGCTCCGCCCACCTGTCTACACCTTCGCTCTCCAGATCCTGGCTGCTTTCACAGGTACAGGGCGGTGGGAGGGGTCAGCGGGCGCTCACAGACTGACCTTTGTTTCCCGCTCATACCTGCATTAAGTACCTGTCACTCACACACACACACACACACACACACACACACACACACTCAGAGCTAAAGATGAGGGCGGGGGGGTTAATACCTGCTGTCAGCCCGCCCTCTGACCTCTGCAGAGCATTCCTCTTTCTCATTGGTCCCCGCTCCACCCTGACGGCGTTCGTGGACGGTCACATGATGTGGTTTGGCGTTGGGCACAAAGGTAACAAAGGTAGCTCTGTGTTTCAGACGGGGACGCCGCAGAGCAAGACGGAGCGCCAATAAAGGCTGTGACAGCAGAGCGAGCGTGTGTGTGTGTGTGTGTGTGTGTGTGTGTGTGTGTGTGTGTGTGTGTGTGTGTGTGTGTGTGTGTGTGTGGACCCCTCCTCTTCAGCCCAAACACCTGAAGCTTATTAAACATAAATCTGCGCAGCGCCTCCTCCTCCTCCTCCTCCTCCTCCTCGCCGCCGCGGTTGTAACCTGAGACACATATTGACTTTTCGGGGGAGCTTCTTAAATCTCTGAGCCGCTCTTTCCTCTCGTCAACATTCCTCGTCCGTCCAACACTCAGATGTTTCTGAGTCAAATATCTGTCGGCCAACACGCCGCACATCCAGGAGCGTTTCTCTCCTGTCGTCATCGATGTAAAACGGTTATTATGGACTCTCATCTGAACGTCCTGCAGTCGGATCAGGAGGACATTTAAAACAAAGACAGAGAGGGACCACGCTGGTCTAATCCGGGTCCAGACCTGGTCCTAAAAAGGGGAGACTCCTTAAGATCGGCACCAATATTATAATCTTATCGACACATGCTGGAGGACCAGAATACTTCTGCTCTGACTTTAAGGTGGTGTAGTTCAGGATCTGAGGAAGTTCCAGTTTTTAGGAGAAATCTTGAATGTAAACTCTACCCCTCCAACCAGTTTTCCCCTCAGCTCCTCCTCTCCCTCTCTTAAGCCCCGCCCACAAACAGACGCTCCTGCTCGCTCGTCTCGTTCCGATTAAATTCAGATATAATGCAGATAAATACTTCAGATCATTACAAATGGGGCCCAGTCAAGGTGAAAGTCAAAAGCATTGGTGCTACTGTAGATGCCAACAGACTACCAGCAAACACAATGTTTGCAGGACTTCTACAACGAGGATAAAGTGACATAGTCCAGGACCCGAGGGAGGACAGTTTAGCGATGGCGCTACAACACGCTACAGCAGGTCCGTTTGACAAGAACCACTTCTGTTACAGACACTTGTCTTACTTTGTTAAAGCGGTTTACCTGTCCAGCAGAAAGGTTACAGGGTCACCAAGATCCCCAAGCGTCCCCCATCGTTTATGTTGACCCGGCTTTTTAGCTCTTGTCCGGTCTACCTCCGTTTTAAGCGCCCGTTATTCCTCCAGAGTCTCCGGTATTTACTTTGTTTTCTTGCTTGTGTCGGCAGTCGTGGCCAAAGGAGGATTCAGACAATTTTCCGAACTTTCTGGTTGGTTTCTACTGTCCGATATTGTAGCACGCTAACTTTGTTTGGGCTCCTGAACGACACGGGGGAGCAGCATTTTTTTGTTGACTGTTTTCTTGTTGACTGTTTTCTTGCTGACCGTTTTGGTGTTGACTGTTTATGGTTGACTGTTTTCTTGTTGACTGTTTTTTGTTGACTGTTTTTTGTTGACTGTTTATGGTTGACGTTTTCTTGCTGACTGTTTTCTTGTTGACTGTTTTTTGTTGACTGTTTTCTTGCTGACTGTTTTCTTGCTGACTGTTTTCTTGTTGACTGTTTTGGTGTTGACTGTTTTCTTGTTGACTGTTTTTTGTTGACTGTTTATGGTTGACGTTTTCTTGCTGACTGTTTTCTTGTTGACTGTTTTTTGTTGACTGTTTTCTTGCTGACTGTTTTCTTGCTGACTGTTTTCTTGTTGACTGTTTTGGTGTTGACTGTTTTCTTGTTGACTGTTTTCTTGTTGACTGTTTTCTTGCTGACTGTTTTCTTGTTGACTGTTTTCTTGCTGACTGTTTTCTTGCTGACTGTTTTCTTGTTGACTGTTTTGGTGTTGACTGTTTTCTTGTTGACTGTTTTGATGTTGACTGTTTTTGTTGACTGTTTTGGTGTTGACTGTTTTTGTTGACTGTTTTCTTGCTGCCTGTTTTCTTGCTGACTGTTTATGGTTGACTGTTTTCTTGTTGACTCATTATAGTTGACGTTTTCTTGTTGACTGTTTTCTTGCTGACTGTTTTCTTGTTGACTGTTTTTGTTGACTGTTTTCTTGCTGACTGTTTTCTTGCTGACTGTTTATGGTTGACTGTTTTCTTGTTGACTGTTTTCTTGCTGACTGTTTTCTTGTTGACTGTTTATGTTTGAGTGTTTTCTTGCTTGTGTCGGCAGTCGTGGCCAAAGGAGGATTCAGACGATTTTCCGAACTTTCTGGTTGGTTTCTACTGTCCGATATTGTAGCACGCTAACTTTGTTTGGGCTCCTGAACGACACGGGGGAGCAGCGTCTGCCTCACAACCAATCAGGTTAGAGGAGGTGGAGAACGGCTTTGTTTACAGTCAGAAAGAGCGGACCGCTCAAAAATGTTCAAATGTTGACGACACAGACATAAGAGAACACAGAGATATTGATATATTACCAAATAATCAATAACTAATAACTATTGACTGATATTCAAAATAAAAAGATGCTTCTTTAACAGATTCCTGTCTTCTCCTCCTTTAACTTCAGGAAGCGTCCAGCAGACTTTCAGCCGTCAGCGTTCACACGCCGTCGCTCCGTCTGAAGGTTTCCAAGCGTCTCTGTGTGGACACAGATTCAGACCTGCGAGTGCACCCGAGTCTAAAATGAAGTAAACCCAAACATCTGGGTGTGATTCCCGTCTCAGTGAGAGACACAGCAGCAGCAGCAGCAGCAGGATCCTCCAGGTGGGGGGGTTGGTGTGTTGGAGGTGGGGGGGTTAAATCTGCAGCTGAATCACAGAGAACTGCTGCTGCTGCTGCTGCTGCTGCTGCTGCTGCTGCCAGAGCCGCAGAGTTCATGACACGCTTTCCTCCCTGGAAAGAATGAGTGATCCCTGCCTACAATTAAACACAGGGAGGAGGCTGGTCTGTGTGTGTGTGTGTGTGAGTGTGTGTGTGAGTGTGTGTGTGTATGTGTGTGTGTGTGTGTGTGTGTGAGTGTGTATACGTGTGTGTGGATGAAAGTGTCAGTGGGCAGATTGGCAGCGGCTGCAGAGAAAGGGAACGGGGTAAAAACAGAAAAGTGGAGGTGTTAGAAAGCAAGACGTGCACAAAGGGCCCTCTGTGCAGGGGAGGCCTCTGGGTCACACACACACACACACACACACACACACACACACACACACACACACACACACACACACACACACCTTTGTAAACCTGCTGCCCGCTGTGAACTCATAGGAATAAAAAAGACGGAGGGAGAGGTGAGAGAGGAGAAGAAGGAGGGACAGCAGCTGAAGTGAGATTGTGACAAAAACACTGACAGTGTGTGTGTGTGTGTGTGTGTGTGTGTGTGTGTGTGTGTGTGTGTGTGTGTGGGGTGTCTGTGGAATGTATGAGTGGGGTTATTAGCCCATTTTCTCCTGTTTAAATCAGTCCCTGTAATAACAGTGGAGCTCACATACATAAATACTGGAGTGATTTCCTTTGGCAGGACGAGCTGCTATGACACACACACACACACACACACACACACACACACACACACACACACACACACACACACACACACAGGCTGTGTTTACAGACCAGAGTGTTTGTGTGTCTGTGGATGGAGCTCGACTCTCTCAGACCTCCAACCATCTGACGCCCCCCCCCCACCCCCGAGTTAAAATCCTTCAGTTAAACTTTAATCCAAGTGAAATAAATCTGTTTTCAGTATTTCACCAAAATGAGGCCGAAGCTCTGAAGCTCTGAAGCTCTGCAGCTCTGAAGCTCTGAAGCTCTGAAGCTCTGAAGCTCTGAAGCTCTGCAGCTCTGAAGCTCTGAAGCTCTGAAGCTCTGAAGCTCTGCAGCTCTGAAGCTCTGAAGCTCTGAAGCTCTGAAGCTCTGCAGCTCTGAAGCTCTGAAGCTCTGCAGCTCTGAAGCTCTGCAGCTCTGAAGCTCTGAAGCTCTGAAGCTCTGCAGCTCTGCAGCTCTGAAGCTCTGAAGCTCTGAAGTGATCGTCGTTTATGTGACTAAAAAACAAACATTTCTATCTCTCAGTAAAAACGATTTCATAAACATGAAAACAGGCGGAAAGGTTTTTCAGAGTTTTTAGGAGGTTTCATTTGTGTCACAAACATGTCAAATCATCATCACTATTTTCAGTGATGGAGACATCTATCCATGATTTCAGCCACAGTCAGGCGCCCCTATCTGTCTGTAGACCACACTACAGCGTCTGCAGTCAGACTCCCACAAGGACGAGCGTCCAACTCCACAACAAACAGCAGAAACCAGAGGACAGCGTCCCTGAGCCAAGTTTCCATATGGAGCTCAGCTAACCCATAAAGATGAACTCTCTGCTTCTCTCCGGAGACTGTGACGGGAAACACACACAGGAGAGGTGAGATTAACGGAGCATTATCCAGAGAGGAGGCAGCAGTCCAAATACTGCTCCGTTTACAGGGCCAGAGCCTCCATTCATACCTGTTTACAGTCATTTCATATACATGCATGTGAGGACAAGACCCTAACCCTAACACACAACAAGGGAGAGACGCCTTAAAACTACGATAACAAGAGTCAAGGAGCAAAATGAGGGTAAGAACCTTTGATCCGTAGATGTTTTATTATTAAAAACAGTTTTTAATGATAAAATCTTTTAAAATCTCTTATTTAGTCGAAGCTTTAATCTGTCCGGCGGTAAAGCGAGCAGGTGTCGGTTCCTGCAGGTGAAAACTCGCTGCGGTTGAATCCGTCTCTTTTCTGCATGAATGCTCCTCAGACTCTCCGAGTATTTCTCTCTCCAGGGCTGAGAGCTAAACTGCTTCACTCAAGTCTTAATTGAAGTTTGACCTTTGACCTCATGCCAAGATGTTGTTTCACATGTTTGGAGTCTGAGCGTTCAAAGTGAGATCTGGTGGAGCGTGTAGAGAGAGGGTCTGCTCTGTTCGGAGTCACCTCCCCAGATCAGCTGAGGCTGCAGGAGGATTTATATGTTATATATGTTATTGTTATATGTTATTATAGTTATCCCTATAATAGAAATATTACTAATATAACATACTTGGAATGATTAAATGTTTTATATATAAATGATTTAATATAACTACCTTGTGTGTGTAGGTCTATAACTATTGCCCTAACTATCTGTTTAATGTTTATTTATGTAAATCCATAAAATTATTCTTGAGTAAACAGGAACATAACTAAAACTCTGAGGTTTGTTACAAAACAAACTGTTTTAAAATCAGTTTAAAATTAATCAATCTGTGGTTATTTAAATGTTACATGAACTGTAGACTGGAATGTTAGGAGTGGGCGAGCTGCCTGTAGCAAGATGGCCGCCATGCGTGGGCGTCGGTCTCCATTGGCTAACAGCGTGCGTGAGTCATCTATCGTTTATATATATATTATATATATATATATATATATATATATATATATATATATATATGTATATATAATATATAAATATATGTATATAAATATTATTATATTATATAAATATATATATATAAATATATATATATATATATATATATATATATATATATATATATATATATATATATATATATATATATATATATATATATATATATATATATATATATATATATTATATATACTATACTATATATATATATATATATATATATATATATATATATATATATAACATATCTACGGGCGAGGGTCGGAACAGGAGAACTATCTGATGGTGACCCACTTCAGAGACCACGATCCTCTGAAAACACCTGGATCTCCAATAAGGTTTCAAACAAGTTCCCTGTTTGGGTCTGAAGTCTGGGTCTGATTATCAGAGACCTGTCAGACCCAGACTTCAGACCCAGACTTCAGAGCTGTCAGACGGTCTCTTCAGGCTGACTGAGCCGTCTGTCATGAATCACTCCGATCATCTGCTGAAGACCAGGACACTCCTCATCAGCTCAGACTCTCACACCTGGACCAGCTCCGGGGCCCCCGCTCTAAAGAGCTGTCAATCAAACGCTTAAGCTCCTGTGTGCTGGCTGCAGGCACCACCTAACACACACACACAGACACACACACACACACACACACACACACACACACACACACACACACACCTGACTGAGCCTGTGTCGAGACGTCGTCTCACCTCAGGGGGAAACACGCTGCACCGGATCACCCTGAACCTGCGGGTAAAGGTACCATCTGCAATTTTAGCGTGTGTGGTGGGGGTTCTTCTGCACACAGCACAGCCTCTAGTGGACACTTGGAGAATTGCAGTTTTTAGCACTTAAACATAAAACTTTGTCTAAGAGCTGCAAAATGTCGTTAAAGAACCATCTTCATCAAAGAACGAGAAAACACGAATATTTTTACGTTAAATTATTTCCTCATCAGGATTCTGGAAACATCACGATCTCTTTGATCAAGTGTTTTTTTATTTAACCCTGTAACTGGTTATGATAATCAGTCCATGCGCTACCCCCAATTTTAACCACAACGGCAGCGATTTTCACTGTCCACGAATTCCTACTGAATCCGTTTGTGTTTTATTTTGAAAAGAAGCCGGATGTTTTATTTTGTGTCTGTGCCCGACTTCCTTTCCAGCACGGGTTAATCTGTGCTGAATTTATCCGCCATGCTCCGGCGTCCAGAAAAAATAGAACTCTTGTGATCAGCTGAGGAGTCCGGCGATCCGCAGAGGAACGGAAAGAAGTCGGTGTAAATTGACACGACGACGTTCAGGATGAGGAGGAAATCGGTGGTTAGTTGATTCGTCTGTTGACGTTTGAACCGAGTTAAAGACGGAGCGTTCCTGAGCTGTTGTTGACAGAGAAAGCTGGATGTCAGAGTGGGAAAGTGATAAAGCACGGCGTACAGATATCTGCGTGCACTCTCGCTGCCCCCCTGGATCTTGGCAGACTCAGTAAAAGTGAGATACTGAAAGAAAATAAAGCCGAGTCTGAACACAGTGTGCTGCCAGAGCAAACATGGTGGCTGTTTTTGTAGAGAACGATTACACTCGGTTAAAGAGTGTACTCCTGTTTTTAAACCCGCAGTGTGCAGGAAAAACACACACACACACACACACACACGTGTATCTGTGCATTTAGCCCCAGTCGAGCGTGAACTCCCAGGCATCCACTTTCACCAGCATGACTGCTCGTGGAGCGACCCGGCTGTCCGGCCGCCAAACGGCACAATTATCTGCAATTTCTGCTCAGACAAAACGGATCACTTCCCCGCTAAATGAAATTCCCCATTAAGAGGAGCAACAAGGGGGGAGATAAGGTTAGTAATACTCTCTGAGGAGTGAGACGAGGGGGCACAGAGCGAGCACGCAGCCCCTCTATTCCCAGAAACAGAGTCAACTGTAGATGCACCAAGAATCCAGAGTTTACAGCCCAGAGTTTCAGACGTTCTCCGACGGCTGAGGTTTCTACAATGATGTGAATCTTCTGTCTGTACTCAAACCTGATTGGCTGAAGGATGTCCAGTAACATCACTGTCTCAGAACTTCAGGTGAGACTCTGAACCAGCCTGTGTTCGGGGACAGAAGTCCAGCCTGTGAAGGGTCAGAACACGTCCACGGTAAAATTCTGCTGATCATCCGTCACCCGGTTTATAGATCAGTCCTGCTGATGAAATTCCACTGTCTCAGAGAGAGTCTCCGAGAAGATCAAAACACAAGAGAGGAAACATGACGAAGGACGGGCCTCAGCAGGACATGGACCTGAGGCTCAGTGCCACTTGATCTCAGGGGGTAACCACGGTTACCAGACTGTTAAAATTAATTCAGTTTTATTTCATCAAAGGTGGAAAAACACCTGAAACATGACACCAGCTTCACTATCAGCTCTAACATATCAGACAGCAGCTTCATCCTTCTGCAGGAATTAGTCAGGCCCCAAACGTCTGACTTTGAGGTGAGCAGGATCAGGAGGTCTGGGTCTTCATGATCAGGTTCTTACTGGTCTGCTGGAAGTCAGCGTCCCAGACCGTTCAGTCTAACTCCTGAGAACCTGAACCATGAGAAGGAGACACTGTTGGGCATCAAACCCCGACCCCCCATTTCTCCCTCTCTCTCCCTCCCTCTCTCCCTCTCTCTCTCTCTCTCTCTCTCTCCCTCTCTCTCTCTCTCTCTCTCTCTCTCTCTCTCTCTCTCTCTCTCTCTCTCTCTCTCTCTCTCTCTCTCTCTCTCTCTCTCTCTCTCTCTCTCTCTCTCTCTCTCTCTCTCTCTCTCTCTCTCTCTCTCTCTCTCCCTCTCTCTCTCTCTCTCTCTCTCTCTCTCCCCTCTCTCCCTCTCTCTCCCTCTCTCTCCCTCTCTCTCTCTCCCCCTCTCTCTCTCTCCCTCTCCCTCCCCCCTCTCTCTCTCTCTCTCCCTCCCCCCTCTCTCTCTCTCCCCCCTCTCTCTCTCTCTCTCTCTCCCCCTCTCTCTCCCTCTCTCTCTCTCTCTCTCTCCCTCTCCCTCCCCCCCCTCTCTCTCCCTCCCCCCCTCTCTCTCTCTCCCCCCTCTCTCCCTCTCTCTCTTATTCTCTTTCTTTAATGAGAAACTAAATCCCTTCCCGTCACTCAGAGTCTCTCTTGCTGAGCTCACCCTCCCCCCCAGTAGAAGTCCAGAGCCGTGTTCGGAGCGGTCCGGACCTCCATCAGCTGTTCAGATGCTCATTAATCAGGTTATTGATGAGGAGTCAGTGTGTGTCTCTGGCTCCTCTCAGAACTCTGTGGTTGGATCTGACCCCTCCCCCCCAGTAGAAGTCTCTGTGGTCGTGGTCGTGGTCGTGGTCGTTGACTTTGCACGCTGTGAGGAGTTGGTTGTTTCGAAAGACGACGGCAGAGTTTGTGTTGGACGTGTTCCTGATGTGAGTGTCGAGTTAAAGAGAAATTTATGACGAATAAAACTGAGGGCGAGTTTCTCCAGAATCCTGGATACTTCACAGAGTCCCAGATTTACCCTCATCCAGCCCACATTACCTGTCAGGACAGGTAAGCCTTCAGCCTCTCTGTGTGAAAATGTCCACAGACGTGTGCAGGTACGAAAACACCTGAGAGGAAAATTCCATCATGGGACTCTCCTGAAGTTCTCGGTGATCAATCTCAGCTGAAGTCAGACAGCGTTCCCACAGAGACAGTGTGTGCCTGCACTGCATTATGGGTAATGGAGGTCTCTGAGTGGTCGGGTTTGAATCCAGACCTCACCACGTCTCAAACAAAGACTAATGACCTTTTGAACAGACGGGTCAGAACCTCAGAACCAGGACCCGTCAGTCCGGACTCAAACAGAGGCGGCTGGACGAGTTCTTCTTCAACACATGATACAGAGAATTTGATCTCAGCAATCAACAGGCCGGATATACAAACACACCTGACAGGGACCGTCATGCATGAACACACACACACACACACACACACACACACACACACACACACGGAGCCCAAGGTCACCTGTGTGTTCGCTCATAAATGGCTGCTGGGTGACCTTAATGGCGGATCTGTCGTCAGCGTTCATTAAGAGCTCTGAGTTTAGCGGGTTTAGAGGAAAACCTCCGTCTGAGTGGAGACGCCGACCTGAGGTCTGAGGACAGGAACTCGGAGACTCAGGTGGACCTGCAGAGGGTCGTTCTGCGTGCTTGGCGTGTGTGTGTACAGAGCTGTGAGCTGGGGGGGGGGGGGGGGGGGCGCTGTCGGCCGAGACAAATTCAGCAAAGTCATCGTTAGAGAGAAAAACGGCGTGTTTCAGAGACGTCTACAAGACGTAGAGAGACAGAAGGACAGAAGGACAGAAGGACAGAAGGACAGAGGGACAGAGAGACAGAAGGACAGAGAGACAGAAGGACAGAGGGACAGAAGGACAGAAGGACAGAGGGACAGAGGGACAGAGAGACAGAAGGATGGGGGACAGAGAGACAGAAGGACAGAAGGATGGGGGACAGAGAGACAGAAGGACAGAGGGACAGAGAGACAGAAGGATGGGGGACAGAGAGACAGAAGGACAGAGGGACAGAGGGACAGAAGGACAGAGGGACAGAAGGACGGGGGACAGAAGGACAGAAGGACAGAGGGACAGAAGGACAGAGGGACAGAAGGACAGAAGGACAGAGAGACAGAAGGACAGAGGGACAGAAGGACAGAGGGACAGAGGTTCTCCTCCTCCTCAGAGGTTCGAGCACTGGTCCTCAGAATATTTTATTTTCACTGACAGTCCAACAATAAAACTTTGAGGACATATTTAATAAAGGGACAGCTGTCAGTCCTTCATCTTCATCCTCATCTTCATCATTTTTATCCCAGAAAACTTTGGGATAGCAGGAGGAGGAGCATGAGGAGGAGGAGGAGCAGGAGGAGGAGGAGAGACAGACTGCAGTGAAGATCTGCCTGCTGGTCTAACCAGTGAGAGAGTCATCGTTCTGGATCAAAACTAAATCAAAGTCCAGGTCCTGAAGTTCTGAAGCAGGTTTTTCTAAAAGCTTTTAAAGTCTGGATGGTTTTTGGAGCCTGTGATAAAATCTACGAGGAAAAGTTAAAATCTTTCAGTTTTTATCATAGAGTAAAAATACTTTAATAATACGAGTAAAATCAGATTTTTTATTCAGAGTATTTTTACTAAAATGAGGCCGAAGCTCTAAAGTGAAGAAGAGGGTCACTGATTTTAGAAGTTTTAAAGTTTGTAAGAGTTTTTAGAAGTTTTAAAGTTTGTAAGAGTTTTTAAAAGTTTTAAAGTTTGTAAGAGTTTCAAAAAGTTTTAAGAGTTTGGAATTTTTTTAAGTTTAAAAAAGGTTTTAAGAATTTTTTTTCAGTTTTTAAGAGTTTTTTAGTTTTTAAAAGTTTTAAAGAGTTTTTAATTTTTGAAGAGATTTTAAGTTTTTAAAAGTTTTTAAGATTTTAATAGTTTTTTTTTAGTTCTAAACAGTTTTTTAGTTTTAAAGAGTTTTTTAGTTTTTTTAAGTTTTAAAGAGTTTTTAAGTTTTTTTAATTTTTAAAGATTTTAATAGTTTTTTTTTAGTTCTAAACAGTTTTTTTTAGTTTTAAAGAGTTTTTATCAAAGATCTCTTAAGTCAGGTAGATGAGTGATGGACAGCTGTCAGGTCTGGGGTTTGTAAGAGTCGTCTGAACTGTTTCACATTAAAGGTCAATGTTGCGTCTTTGTTGATGGACAGCAGACGCAGAACTCAGTCAGGTACTCCTCACCTGGAGGGGCAGCAGCAGGGTCAGGTCCGGGACAGAAACCAGACTCTCCTGAGCATCACCACAGACGGACGGACGGAGGGACAGAACACAGCCCACCATGAGGAGCTCCTCCTCTGGATCACAGCCGGGTTTGGACCGGTGCTGGTCTCAGTTTCCGGCTTTAACTCCCCGCCCCTCCTCTTACCTCCTCCATCCTGCGGCTCCTCAGACACAGACAGGAGGAGCAGTAACAGGAGGAGTAGGAGGCGCTCACACAGACTAAAGCTGTCACTAGGTGGTGCTGGTTCCTCCTGAAAGTTCTCCTCCATCAATAACCGAAGGACATGCAGAGATGATCTCCAGAGAAGATAAAGAGGAGGTGTGTTTCAGTGAGGAGGCGAGGAGAGCTCCTCCTTTTAATCACACAATAATAATAACGACGACGACGATGACGCAGGGAAACTCAAAGAACTGCTCTGGTTCTCCTCAGTCACACAAACATCTCAGATCTCCATCTAGGACAGCATGGACCTTCAGAGTGGACCTCTAAATAACTGGTCTCTGAAGGAGGAGGGAGACACACGGACAGGCAGCCTGGTCTCACTTCCAAGAACAGTCTGGACTCGGGTCCAGGGCTGGATTTAGCGATAAGCCGACCATATGAGCCGCTCTGTCTGTCCGTCTGTCCGTCTGTCTGCTCTGACCCCGCCACAATAACAAAGGCGCTCAGCGGCGGCGGGCCCCCGGCTCCGTTTACTCAGCGGTGTAATGTTTGTGCTCTCATGGCCCCGCAGCAGCCCGGCTCAGCCCTTATCAGGGGCCCCGGCTCAGCTCCGCACGGCCTCGCCATTCTGTGTATTCTACCACTGCAAACAAACCGCACAAAGGCGAGGAAAACAGAGCGAGGGAGCGGAGGAGCCGGGTCCTGGGGCCTCCATCCCTGCTCCTCCTGACAGAAAGAGAGGAGGAGGAGGAGGAGGAGGAGGAGGGTGCATTCCTCTCTCCTGGTGCCCCGGAGGGCTGTCGGCTTTGGCTGCAGAGAGGAGAGTGAAGGCGGCTTTAAGCCCCCGCAGACACGCAGGTCTCGGCTGGTTAAAGGGATATTCTGACATAAAATTAATTTAGAGTCAAACACACCGTAACCCCGAGTTAGACTCCGCCCCCCTCCAGAGATGAATGTTGTCGACCGCTTGCTTCTCTAGTTATACCAACTTTAGTTACGACCACAGGATAGAAATACAGAGAGCCACGCCCTCAACCAAAACGCCACTCTATAGCCACAAATAATGCTCAGAACAGCACCTAACTTCATCAACAGGACATACAGGGTCACAGACATAGTACTAGACACCAAACATCTTTTTAACTTTGACTCATTTCTTTAGCAAAGAGACTAAACACAACTCACCTACTCTCTTCCAGCAGACGCTTGTTTGTAGAGAGACCTCAGGCCAGTCCATTACGGACTACAGCGGGGTGACGCAGCTCAAGGAAGAACATTTATGATCATTTCTTCATCATTTCCTTGAAGTAATAATCACCATATTGATCATTTTACAGACGCGGTCGTTCTTCTGTCTTAGCGTCTCTGATTGTATTTCCATGAAGAAATGATCATGAATGCAGCAGAGTGGTAGTTCAGGCAGGTCATGGAGTCAAGCTAAAGGCTACAGTCAGCTGATCTTAAGCCAGCCCTCAGTCAGCTGACAGCTCAGGTGATCACCCTCTACACATCCTATTGGCTAATGTCAAAATGGCGCCCTATTTAATCTGCTTCTCCTGCCTACTCCGCCTGCTGCAACCACTCTGCTCCCCACCTCCACCCCAGCTCCTCCTGTTCATGTCGTGTCTGATCTTACCAGTGTCTTATGTATTGTCGCTGATGCTTGCTCTCTTCTGTGGGGGGATTTTAATTTATTTATCTGAATCATATTTATTTGCTGCTGCCTTCTCTGCCTCGGCGTTTCATGTTTGTATGAAAGGGAGGGGAGGAGCTCTCCTCTCTTATAGCCGTGGCGTTCCATGCAACCACGTGGAAGAGCAGGGAACCCTCAGAACAGAGCCGTACCACCAATGTAAAAAAATGTTTGCTTGTAATAAAAAATTAATTTTGACTGAAGTGATCCTGACTGAAATGTTCTTCCTTGAGCTGCGGCACCCCGCTGTAGTCCATAATGGACTATTACTATCCTGCGGTCGTTTCTAAAGTTGGTATAACTAGAGAAATAAGCGGTCGACAACATTCATCTCTGGAGGGGGGGTCTAACTCGGTGTCTAAAGCCGGAATATCCCTTTAATGCTCCGCTGGTCTAACAGGAGAAAGTCGGACTCCGTTACCCCCCCTCCCTGCTCAGATGAAACCATTCGGGTTGTGAGGGGAGACGCGTTATTCTAAGAAGGGACATGTTTACAGAAAACAGGTCCTGCTGCGAACCGAGCTGAACCCCTCCACTCGTCGGTGAGTCAGAGGGACGGTCCAGCCAAGAGAAAAAGGACTGCTGCATATTTTCCATCTTTGTTTCTGCTTTCTGGGATTTTCTCTCTGAGCTGCACGAAGGCGGGCAGCAGACTGGCATGGCTGTCTTCATTTCCAGCTCTGAGGGAGCCGTGCTCCTCCAGGTCGCCCTCAGACCAGCTCAGTGTCACGTCTTTTAACAGCAGATAGAAAAAGACGGTTTTCTAGAGAGTAATCCCAGCGACAGTCAGGAAGTGACGATGGTCCCACCTCGAAAAAGAAAAACTTCCACAGCAGGAACACGTCCAGATTCCCTCTGCAGAGTCGGCTTCCTCTCTGTGGGGACAGTGGTTCTTAGAAAAACCTGTTCCAGTTTAGCAGAAACCCTCCAACCCACCAACCCACCAGCCCTCTCTGGTTTCCCTGGAACACAGAGATGGGACCCAGGCCTGCAGACTGGTTTGGATTGTACCCCTAAAAAGGACAAAGGGGGGCTGGAGCGCCTGAAAACTCCTAAACGAGGAGATCAGGGTCTCCTCCTGGATCTGCTGGAGGAGTCAGCTCCAGCTTCCTCCTCATTAGCCGTGGCTTATCCCCTCTGATACTGACCCCCTCATTATCCCAGCACCCCTGTGGAAACAGAGCGTGGGGCTCAGGACCAGGATGTGACCCCCCCTCTCAAAGACCTGCTTCCTCTCTGGTGGAGAAGGTCAAACTCAGTGGGTTTCAGGAGCACAGCTGATCGTCTGATATTTCCTCGTAATAAGAAGAAATTAAATGACGTTCATGTTTTATTTTATTCCTTCAAAGTCCTGGTTAACGATTGTAGAGATCAGTAATTATTATGAACCTCGTTTCCATGGCGATCATGGTCCTAAAGTGCGATCTCCACAAAGAGAAAAATGAAGTCGGAAAAAATCTGTTCATCTTATCAGGAGCAGGGCTGCAAAAACATTGACCAATAGGAGCCATCCGTCCCGGACAGCTCCTATTGGTCAATCTCCTGCTCCGCCTCTCCATCCAATCACCTCGCTGTATTCGACACACCCCTCTCCCGTAGTTCTGACTCGTCCCCTCCCACTCTCCCAGCGCAATTTTTTTTTTGAAGGATGGTAGGGGAAGGACCCGCCCTCCTTCACTTCTGATTGGCTGGATGCTGGGCTGCGATTGGTTATTCCTTATGGCTGTGAAACGTCGTCATCTGTCGGGTTAGGAGATTCAAAAGTGCGATAATGTTCGACGTACAGAGCTGACAGCCTGAGTTTGGCTTGAGTGTGTGATAACGTTTACAGCTTTTCTAGCCAATCAGAGGCGAAGGAGGCGGGACTTTCCTCAACATCCTACAAAAAAAAAATCGCTAACAGTAGCGTAGCAGCTTAGCTACAGGAGCTGTGATGGAGAAGGACGCAAAAAAACCCCACTTCTGCTCGCCCCACCGCCAAAAGTGGGAAGACAACACAAACGGAAAAAAGGGCGGAGTCAGGAAACGTGACCAAGCGAGGAGTCTAACGTGAATAACCATCGGGTCATCCTTGGAGCGGTGGAGAAAGCTCCGCCCTCAGGTCATGTTTATCTCCTTTTATCTCATGTTACATAAATAACTCTGATTAGTCTCTGACATGTCAACACGGTAGCTGCAGACGGCGCTCGCTAGCAGAGCTGGCGTTTACTGACGCTGGTCACTAACAATCCGACATGGTGGATCCTAGTTGAAGCTAGCGTAGGATCTTCTGTCAGAGGGGGTGTGTCAGGGGGAGGGAGATACAGGTTCAGGGGGCGGAGTTATGGTGGAGCACAGAGGGGAGGCTTCTGAATCCTGACTCTAAATGAATAAAATCCCCCTGACTGTGATTTTCTCCTCAATCCTCTTCAGACGCGGCGCTCACAGTCTCATCTTTGTGCCGAGTTTAGAGTATAAAACCGTTTTCTTTTTAATTCAATACTGAACCACAGAGCGGTAAAACAAACATGTCTGATTTTGTAGAAATAAATCACATAGATCCTTAAAGGGAAACCAGAAGAAGAGTGGTTTGTTTTCGGCTCCTGCTCGTTCTTCGTCTTCGTCCTCTTCCTCTGTTTACTAAAGTTAAAGTGAATTTGTTCACATTCCTTCACGGCTCTGGAAACCATTAGAGTCCCAGTTTTCTCTGCCAAGAAGCTTATATGCATATTTATACAGTTATGGCTCCTCATCAAAACACAGACGGGTCCATGTGAGCCCCAACATTTACACTACATGTTGTTTGTGAAACAGAGATCTGCAGGATCCAGATCCCAGTTTCTGCTCCATCAGGTCTGAAGTGGACTCCGTTCAACATCCCTCCAACCTTCTCCACCTTCCCGCTATCGCTAAAGTCAACACGGCTCCACCAGGCGTGAAGGAGGCGCGTCTCAGTCTTTGTTCAACGTTTATGAACACATTCCTACACACACACACACACACTCACACACACACACACACACTCAGAGTGTTTGCTCAGGGTGTGTGTGTGTGAGGCCCGCTGGACTCAGCCTTTCTGGGAAGTTCACCTGAGCAGCAGAGGACCTGCACACCTGCGCTCTGATTGGTCCTCCCAGGTCACATGGTTCAATGTTATCGACACCCATCTAGAGAGCAATCCAGCGCTTATCTATGATTGGCTCTGATTGCAGCTATTCAGACCAATTAGGAGCTCTCCCTCCTGTTCCAGACTCTGCCCTGCAGCCCGGCGGCCCCGCTGCACGGCTGCTGCAGATCCTGGACCACACCGAGTCCACCAGGACCATGAGGGGATCAAGATCCAGTCAAACATCATAAAAGACCAGATCACACCTGTGTCAGTGTTTGCAGAGAGCAGCAGATATCCTGGTGCTGTAAAAGAGTTACTGGGTTTTATAAACCAGCGTAAATAAGAACGTTTTCAATCAGGGTCTAAAAAGGTCCAGGTCTGAGATAAGTCTCATTTCAGTGGGGAGTTTATTCCAGAGTCTGGGACCAGCGCCTGAAAGACTCGGTCCCCCCAGAGTTTGTGTTTTGACCTGGACACCACCAGCAGACGTCACGACCTCAGAGCTCCTGAACGGTTAAAAGCTCGGTGAAATCGACGGAGGCGAGGCCGTGAAGAGCTTTAAAAACAAACAAAGAGTTTAAAATCAATCCTAAAAGAGACGAGAAGGACAGGAGTGATGAGCTCACGTCTGTTAGTGTTGGGTAAAAGATTGTGGACAAGTTGAAGGAGACTGAGAGATGATTGGGAGACGGGAGAAGATTAGAGCGTTGGTAATGATCTCAAGGTCATGACGGCTGAAGACGTCCAGGAGGCGGAGTTAGAAGAAACTAGTCCTGACAACAGGATCAGTTTGTTTGTCAGAAACCACTCCCAGATTCCATGACGGTCCAAATGTTTCCAATGGGGGACAAGTCAGGACCACATCAGTCCAGGTTCTCAGCAGGACTCTTCTCCTACAGAGCCATGCTGTTGTAAAACACTGTTAGTTTGTTTTTAATGCCCTGGAGATCAGGACCATCCAGTCCTGGTTCTGGTCCTGGACCCTTTAGTACAGAGACTTCTCAGGAACTTTATTTTGAAACTGTTGACCTGTGAGCTCAAACAGTCTCTTACAGAGTCCTGAACCTCCTCCATCTTTCCTTCTGAGAGACTAAACCCCCGACCTCCACCTTCATCCTGATCGTCTCCTAAAAGGTCGTATCCTCCGATCGTAGCTGATCGTAACCATTCAAGTTAACGTGTCAATTTACACCGACTTCTTTCAAAACGGGCGGAGACGAACAAGTGAAAGGTTTTTAGACGTCATTTCACCCCGATGACACCATGGATGAGGAGATGCTGATTCTAGAAGTCTAGAAGTAGATTTCCTCCTCTGGAAGGACACAATCTACTGCTTATATGTCTATGTGTCTGTCTTTAGAGAGACAACTCGTTATAGTGAGATTGAACCTGAACCTGCAGGTTCTTGTGAGTTCTCCTGATCCCCGCTGTCTATAATCCGCCCTGAAATTCGCCTCACAAACGGATCTGGTAGGAATTGGCGGATGGCGAAAATCGCCGCCGTTCTGGGTGAAGTGAAATTGGGGGTCCACCTCTCTGAAGGTCCGTCTTAGACCCAGTCATGTGGTGGACCTGTTGGACCTTCACCTCATTAGTTGAAGTCGTTCCTTCTGATGTTTTTACAACTTCTGACCCGTTTGGTTGTTCCTACAGCAGATGTAAAATCCTCCTGGTAAAACTCGGCCTTTTGTTTTCAGATTATTTTTTAAAGTTGAACCGAAACTTTAAACGTTTTTCTAACCATCACATCCTTCTTTACTTTCTCACATGACTTTTCCTCCGTTATCGTTAAACCGTTTTCACCAGAATCAAGCTGCTGCTGCTGCGAACGGTTTGCACTTTTCCTGAAAACAGAAGTTCGGACTGAACTAACGCTAACCTCTCGGTTGTTTCAAAAACACGGTACTGTTCCTGTGAAAACCTACAGTCATGATTTCACCGAGGTGTGACGTTGCCCGGCGGAGATCGGCCAGGCTAAGTGAGGTTGTGATGAAGCGGCTGACCCCGGGCTCACACTGCTGCTCAGGGACCAGAGGAGGGGGGACCTCCAGCACACCTCAGGAACATGCACACACACACACACACATGTGCTATTTCTCTTGGATGGACTGACCAATCATACGTCACCAGCCTGGCCATGTCTGACCATCGTCATGGAGACGACTCATAGCCCAGCCATTAACACAGTGAGAGGGCTGGAAATCTTGACACACACCTGGCAACGAAATTCACACACACACCCGACCGGCTCAGAGTAGGTGCAGAAATAGAAACTCTTCATGCCTGAGAGCTGAGACCGCGCCAGAGTGTGACGCCAGCAGAGAGTGTGTGTGTGTGTGTGTGTGTGTGTGTGTGTGCAGGTGAGTGTGTGTGAACCCAACAAGTGACCAAAAATAGCAAAGTGGATCCAGTTCAGAGAATCAGGTTAATGATTCCTGATGAAAATGCGTCTCAGCACAGCGGACAGTCTGCAGCTCTCTGATCCGGACTGATCCGGACCCCCACAGAACATCACCAAGGACAGAGACCCGCCTTCAGTCCTCAGCAGAGCCGTGCACAGACAGCTCAGAGTTCTGGACAAACCCGACCCTCTAAACAGAGAGGAGACAGGATGAGAGAGAGAGAGAGAGAGAGAGAGAGAGAGAGAGAGAGAGAGAGAGAGAGCGCCACCTTCCTCCCATTAACGACAGACTCTGACATGTGCAGCACTGAAATGCTGCCTGCTGATTGGACAGGTGCACCAAAGGGTATTATGACTTTAAAAAACATGATATTTAGAGAATAAAATCCACCCAGTCAAGGTGAAAGTCAAAAGCATTGGTGCTACTGTAGATGCCAACAGACTACCAGCAAACACAATGTTTGCAGGACTTCTACAACGAGGATAAAGTGACATAGTCCAGGACCCGAGGGAGGACAGTTTAGCGATGGCGCTACAACACGCTACAGCAGGTCCGTTTGACAAGAAACACTTCTGTTACAGACACTTGTCTTACTTTGTTAAAGCGGTTTACCTGTCCAGCAGAAAGGTTACAGGGTCACCAAGATCCCCAAGCGTCCCCCATCGTTTATGTTGACCCGGCTTTTTAGCTCTTGTCCGGTCTACCTCCGTTTTAAGCGCCCGTTATTCCTCCAGAGTCTCCGGTATTTACTTTGTTTTCTTGCTTGTGTCGTCAGTCGTGGCCAAAGGAGGATTCAGACAATTTTCCGAACTTTCTGGTTGGTTTCTACTGTCCGATATTGTAGCACGCTAACTTTGTTTGGGCTCCTGAACGACACGGGGGAGCAGCGTCTGCCTCACAACCAATCAGGTTAGAGGAGGTGGAGAACGGCTTTGTTTACAGTCAGAAAGAGCGGACCGCTCAAAAATGTTCAAATGTTGACGACACAGACATAAGAGAACACAGAGATATCGATATATTACCAAATAATCAATAACTAATAACTATTGACTGATATTAAAATGCTTCTTTTCTGAGCTCAGTCTTGTTTGTCATGAGTCACATCGATAGTCGGGTTCGAATGTCGTCATGTTCCCTCTAACTAAAGCGCGGTACAGCTAACAACACTGGGAGCGACCTTCTGACCTTCACAACCTGGACTAAGAGTGACGTCAGCCTCCAACAGACGGTGTGTGAAATTCAGAAATCCATGAAAGCTGATCAGCTGTGTGGCGCTAACACGGTCTGTGTGATGATGTTATTGTTGAACCTGCGTTTGAAAAGCCCAGAAGGATCTGAGGCGAAAAACGTCCCAGGTTAGTCCAGTTGTCCTTTTCCAAAACAGAGTTAGATTTTGATTTTGATCCTCAGAGGAACGGAAAGAAGTCGGTGTAAATTGACACGTTAACTTGAATGGTTACGATCAGCTACGATCGGAGGATACGACCTTTCAGGAGACGATCAGGATGAAGGTGGAGGTCGGGGGTCAGAGAGAAAGTGCCAGAAACGGAAGAATCCTCCTGTCAGCAAAACAGTCTGCAGAACTCAGGGGTCCAAAAAGGAAGTAGGAGAGCTCTGGTGGACTCTGGTGGACTCTGGTAGACCGCCGTCGCTCCAGTAAACCACATACAGGCTGACACAGATCAATATTTAAGGAGGAGTCAAAGAAAAGTGAGAACTTCTTGAAGCAGTCTGATCGTTTGGGTGAAAACTCTGGACTGACAGGAAAAATCGTTCAAACACGACAAAGAAGAAGAAAGTTTCGACTCCGCTCATGGAAATGATTCTTGGATCGCCTTGATAAGCAGCCAAGCCTCGCCGCAGCCCAAAAATCAAACATGCGGGACATGGTACATATGAAAGTCTTTATGGGACCCTATAGGAGGCCTCCCTCTCTCTCCCTCTCTCTCCCTCTCTCTTCCTTTCTCTGTCTTGTCGTCCTCAGGCTGTGTAAGCTCTGCGGTTTGGCGAGCTGCTGCACAGATCTCAGTAGTTCCTGTTGTGGAAAGAAAGATTATTACGAGCCCACACGGCTACAGTTCAGAACTATTATTATAATCATCATTTCACCAGAAACAGCCGAGGTATCCACTCACCCCGCTCTCCAGTGTCACCCTCATCCTCTCTGCTCTTAATTTAGCCTCTCTGTGGAAGAAAAAGGAAATATACTGAAAAAGTCAAAAAAGAAAAAGAAGAAGAGAGAAAAACGATCTTCAAATCCAGAGACACATAAAAACAGAGAAAACTGAAACTAGAGCGGAGAGTGGACAGGGATCGAGAATCAACAGGATTCTGAGGTTGAGCACCAAACACCAAGGAGGGAGGTAGGGAGGAAGGAAGGAAGGAAGGAAGGAAGGAAGGAAGGAAGGAAGGAAAAGAGAAGGAAGGAAGGAAGCAAGGGAGGGAGGAAAAAAGGAAAAGAGAAGGAAGGAAGGGAGAAAGGAACGGAGTAAGAAAAGAAGGCAGGAAAGAAGGAAGAAGTAGGGGAAGAAAGGAATGAAGGAAGGAATGAAAGAAGAAAAGAAGGAAGGACAGAAGGGAGGAAGGAAAGAAGGAAGGAAAGAAAAAAGAAGGAAAAGATATCTCCATATATGTTTATTTATGTATACATACGGTACATTATCCACACAGTCTTAAAAAATCGTTCTTTGACACAGAAATATTTCAGAAATGACAAAACTCTAAAAATTTGACCTTTTCTAAGAATCAGTTATTGTTTATATTTATAAGTTTATTTTTTTGTGTGTTTGTCTGTGTTTATTTGTGTTTGTTTGTGTGTTTGTGTTTATTTGTGTTTGTTTGTTTATTTGTTTTTGTTTGTGTTTTTGTTTTGAGTTTGTTTGTGTGTTTGTGTGTGTGTTTGTTTGTGTTTATTTGTGTTTGTTTGTGTGTTTATTTGTGTGTTTGTGTTTATTTGTGTGTTTGTTTATTTGTGTGTTTGTGTTTATTTGTGTGTTTGTTTGTTTATTTGTGTTTGTTTGTGTGTTTATTTGTGTGTTTGTTTGTTTGTTTGTTTGTTTGTGTGTTTGTTTGTGTGTTTGTTTGTGTGTTTATTTGTGTTTTTGTTTGTTTGTTTATTTGTGTGTTTGTGTGTTTATTTGTGTGTTTGTTTGTGTGTTTTGTATGAAGTGAGCAGGTCTATTCAGGAGATTATTGAAACCTTTACTTTAAAAACTGTTTTTTTTTTTACTCTGATTTTGAGTAAATATTTGTATTTTTCTGTTGTTTTTAACTCTGATTGTCACACATGGTAAATGTTTTCATGAACTCTAAGTTTTTAACTTAAAGCTCTTAAAAAAGTGAACTCCAACCATTTAAACGGTTAATCAGTAAAAGGCCCGATGAACTGAGCCTCAGATTTCACTGATTCACTGATCGGACTTTTTTTATTGATTTTGTTTTTTTACTTCCATCTCAGAGTGTTGTCATGTTCATTTTTAGGGACACTACGTCAACAAATCGTCCGATAATAACCACATTAGAAAAGTTCAACAGCTGTTTTTAACCTGCAGTGAGCTGATCGGACTTTCAGAACCGACCCGTTTTTAGACGGTTCTGGATGAGTTTTTTAATGATTCTGAATCAGACCGTTTATTCACCGCTGCAGTGAACAGTGAGGACAGTCCCACTCATGCTCTTCCGGACTTTCTCTCCCTCTCAGCAGCTGCACGTCCCTCTGAAGACACATTTCCTCCTTTCAGATAGATTTCACCGGCACAGACTGTTTCAATAAGACCCCCACAGACCCCACCTGACTCCACCTGACCCATTCATCACCTGTCAGGGAGCGCACCGAGCCCAGAACAGAGGCAGGAACCTGCTGAAGTACTTTCCTTTATTTTGTCACTAAACAGCTGACTCCCAGAGTTTTTTTTGTTTCCAGAGACTGAAGTATTGACGACGTTTAGAGGCGCTCATAACGACGAGAACAGGAGCACAGCGAGGCAGAGCTACACCCCGGAAAGTCGGATTTTATTACCACTATTTCCAGAGTTAGCAGCTATTATTCTGCTGCATTCATCCCTGTATATCTAATACTGTCAACAGGATGAATCACGGGTAAGAACTGCATGATGGGGGCACTCCCTGAGCTTGATCCCTCCAGTAAATCCTTCCTAAACATGGAGAAACCTGGTTTCTCTTGAACTATTTAATGCAGGAATAACTCCATAATGGTTCCTGATGCTTTAATTGCTGCAGCTCAGGATCCGTTTCTCAGCTCCTCTGGAGGAAAACAAACCTGAGACTGACATCTGTTGCCAGGCGTTGAACTTTAAAAGCAGCTGCAGAACAATCAGCTCGGTTTTTCAGGTCTTAGCACTGACAGATGAGAGGTGTGGTCGCCTGCAGGAGCTGCAGAGACACGGACGGAGCAGAGCTCATGTCTCAGCCTGCGTCTCGTCTTCATCCTCATTATTCAAACTCTGAAAAGTCATTTCACACTCTGGTTTGTTTTCTTTAGCTGAGTAGGTCTGTTGAAAAGTCTAAACTTGCTGTAATACCTTTGGCAGACAGAGTGTGTGTGTGTGTGTGTGCGCGTGTGTGTGTGTGTGTGTGTGTGTGTGAGGCCTTACCTAACGTGGACGACTTGAAGAAGAGCCACAGGGTTACAAAACTGTGAGGATGGACTTGAGTCGAGTTTTGCAGTATGTGTACTTCGACAGGGCAGTCAGGATCCTAAAGTTTCAAACATGATGTTAGTGGGACGGTGAAAATACAGTCAATGAAAGAGAAATATGATGAGAGAGAGCGAGACACAAGAAATACTCGAGCAAAGCAAAAGAGCTTTTCATTCCAGTAAGAGTCACTTTTCATCTCTGCCACTGAGGGGAGCCAGTGAGCCGCTTTCTCTGCAGAGACGAGGAGCGAGGACGAAAGAGAGGAGGTGAGCAGAAGGAGAGTGAGGGCAGAGGTCAGCTGATTCCAAGTCTGTGCAGACCTCCGACTCCCTGACAGACCCTTTAAATACAGGCAGGGTCTGTAGAGAAGGATTCAGAGACCATCAAGGAGATGAAATCTGCATCCATGTTCAAAACAAGACGGTTTGAGCTGCTGCTACATCAGAGGACCAAGTGGAGAGATAACAAACACTCTTCAGAACCAGGAGAGGAGCTCAAATGACCAGGTCTGTGTGTGTGTGTGTCCCGTGTTAGAGCATCCTCGAGAGAGGCTCAACATCCAGACCTGCAGAGAAAATAGACGGAGAGCAGACGTCCAGAAAAAAACCATCAGACTGAGCTCAGAACCGCAGCACGCAGGAACTCTGCAGCTCTCAGAGTCAGTGCCAGAGCTTTGAAGCTGTCAAACCCTCAGCATAATAAAACACACTCATCTATTTGTCTGCATTCAGACCTTTTCCAGCTTCACTGTGCTCTCTGGGCCAGTGTTTGCTGCGCCTGGCTCTGCAGTCTTCAATATTTATGCAGACCTTGGATCACAGCGCTCAGTCTGTTCTCACCGGTGTGGGTTTCAAAAACACACACATGCTGACGAGTTTACCTCAAACCAAACATTTTCAGCAGAGGTTCGGGGGCAGGAGGGTGTCAAAATTCATCCATCTTTGTATGTCAGCGCTGCTTTGGCACAACGGGGATTTCAAACAGTACGAAGCAGACGCAGCGTTCCTACGCAGGATGTTTGTTGGTCCGTCTCCAGGAGAAGTGGTCGCGTCTTGTGTTTGTCTTCTTATCTTCTGTTTATGAGGCTCTCTGAAGCTGCTGCCAGCAGTCACAGACACATTAGAGTCCCACATCACAAAGTATTTATGTTCGCTGTGATTAATCGTCTGTGTGTTTGCAGAGAGAGCCTCGCACTGATTGAGGAGTGGAAAAGGACGGCTGCAGCACATGGGCCGAGGAGGCTGAGGGCTGCAGCCTGCGTGCAACAACCATCTGTGGAGGTCCTGAGACTCTCTCCGCCCTCATGTCAGGATCACACACACACACACTCATTAGAGATGCACTCAAACAGGGTCACCTACATACCTGAGACTAAACACAGGTGAGAAACATGAGCATTCATTTGTCTGTTAAAGGTGGAGTAGGCAGGAATCTGTTCAAGAAACGACTTATTTTTGTTGTATAAACAAAAACTCTTCTAATATCAGTCAATAGTTATTAGTTATTGATTATTTGGTAATATATTGATATCTCTGTGTTCTCTTATGTCTGTGTCGTCAACATTTGAACATTTCTGAGCGGTCCGCTCTTTCTGACTGTAAACAAAGCCGTTCTCCACCTCCTCTAACCTGATTGGTTGTGAGGCAGACGCTGCTCCCCCGTGTCGTTCAGGAGCCCAAACAAAGTTAGCGTGCTACAATATCGGACAGTAGAAACCAACCAGAAAGTTCGGAAAATCGTCTGAATCCTCCTTGGGCCACGACTGCCGACACAGTTTCTAATTTGAACACATTTCAAACGTGTGTGTTCATGTATAAATGTACACTCCTGTCATGATCCACCCAGCCCTGTCTGGAATTTCTTCAAGTCCACTTCAGAGGTCCATTCATATCATACGAGGCCTCCTTCCTTTTTATCGGACATCCCTGAACCAATCCACACTGAAGTACAGAGGTCTATGTTTGTGGAACCAACTCCCTCACACTCTACACTCAGCATCTTCATCATCAAAAGGCCATTAAAGAGGTCATCACTGTGAGAGTTTTGAATGACTGATCTTGGATCCATGTGATTTGTTAACTGTCATGTAATTTATATTTCCTTGTTACTGTTAAATTTCATAGTTGTTTCTGCATGTTTATAATTTTTTTTTTTTTTTTTTGATGACTTGAACTGCACAGGTACTTCGACAAGCTTTAATGGCTTCTAACCTCCCCTGTACAATACTGTTTTAAATCTATCATGAAACTGTTCTCTATTTGTCATGTGCAAATGAATAAACCAAACCAAACTAAACTATTATTATTATTATTTCCATTATTAATATTATTATTACTTTCCACATTATTATTACCATTATTATGATGATAATATTATTATTACCATTCATAATCATTATCATTCATAATTATCATTATCACCAAAAATTATAATAATTATTATTATCAGTCAAAAAAAAAATTTCTCTGTCTGTGACGATAACCAGACCATCTGACCGGGACAATAGTCTGGTGCAGAGGAGTGATGGACTTAAGCCAGGCGTTTTATTGCGCTCGGCCGTGCGGGTGAGTGCGGCCCTGGCGGATCTCCACACCTCCCGTTGGCGCCCAATGGCTCCCTCACCGACGGGACGGCCACCGGGTGCTCCTGTTCGGGAAACAGGGGGGGCTGGTACCCAGAACAGCACATGAAGGGAGACATACCTGTGGCCGAGGAGGTGAGGGAGTTATGGGCGTACTGGATCCATGGGAGGTGTGTACTCCAGGATGCTGGATGATGGGCCGCAACACACTGCAAAGCCGACTCGAGGCTTTGATTGGCCCGCTCCGTCTGGCCGTTGGTCTGCGGGTGGTAGCCCGAGGAGAGGCTAGCTGCTGCGCCCACTGCCTGGCAGAAAGCTTTCCAGACCTGGGAGGAGTACTGGGGACCACGATCTGACACTATGTCAAGGGGGATGCCATGAAGTTGGAACACATGAGACACTAGGAGATTAGCAGTTTCTAGAGCAGAGGGGAGCTTGGGTAATGGGACATAATGCACGAACTTGGAAAACCTGTCTATGATGGTGAGCATGACTGTGTTACCTTCAGAAGGGGGGAGACCAGTGATGAAATTTAGCGCTATATGAGACCAAGGGCGTGAGGGCACAAGCAGAGGATGCAGCAAGCCAGTCAGAGGTTGGTGGGAGGCTTTGCCTCGGGCACAGATGGAGCAGGCAGCAACAAACACCTGTACGTCCCAGACCATCCCCGGCCACCAGAACTGCTGCTGAAGGAATTGGAGGGTGTGTTGAAATCCGGGGTGACAGGTGAGTTTAGAGGAGTGCCCCCATTGTAGGACCTGAGAATGTGCAACCTCAGGGATGAACTTCCTATCAGCAGGGCCAGTTCCAGGGTCCGGGTGCTTCCAGAAGGCCTTGTCCACAAATCGATCTCCCAAGAGGTGGAGCCGATGATACAGGAGGCAGGGAGGAAGGTGTCCAGTTCTCTGGGGTCCGAGGTAGCAGAGGAGTAGATCCGGGATAGGGCGTCAGGTTTGAGGTTGCGGGAGCCGGGACGATAGGAGAGGGTGAAGGTGAATCTGTGGAGGCGGAGGGACCAGCAGGCTTGCCTGGAGTTGAGGCGCTGAGCGGAACGGAAGTACTGAAGGTTCTTGAGGTCAGTCCAGATGAGGAATGGGTGTTGTGCTCCTTCCAGCCAGTGTCTCCATTCTTGGAGTGCCCACACAACAGCCAGCAACTCACGGTCTCCCACGTCATACTTTCGTTTGGTGGGTGAGAATTTCTGGGAGAAGTAGGCACAAGGATGGAGCTACTGGGTCTTGGGATCCCCCTGTGAGAGGATGGACCCCACTCCGGAGTCCGAGGTGTCAACCTTCACCACGAATTGGAGAGAGGGATCCGGGTGTTTGAGCAAAGGGGTGGAGCGGAGGCAATGAGAGTGGCAGTGAGGACTCCAGGCAGAGATTAAAGCTGTGGACCAGTTGATTTGGGGATTGTGGATCTGCAGCCACGGGAGTCCAAGCACAAAGGGTGAATGCGGAGAGGGAAGCAGGAACAACTGGATGTCCTCACAATGGTATCCTGAAAGGATGAGGGTGAGAGGAGTAGTGCAGTGGGTTATGGTGGCTATAACCCTGCCATCGAGAGCGGTGACCTTACGGGGGGCAGGGAGTGCCTCCAGGGGGAGCTGTAGCCGCGCTGCCAACCCGGGGTGAATGAAGTTGTTGTCCGCCCCGGAGTCAATAAGGGTTTGGAGCGACGTGGATCCTTTCCCCCACAGGAGACAGGCAGGTACAGAGATACGTCTGGGAGAGCTGGAGGTAGAGGAGGTGCTGCTGATTTGCATGGGTTCTCCAGCTGAGGGCACCGGCGCCAGATGAGCTGAGGGCTGCAGAGGAGACCTGCTGAAGGTGGAGGAGGATGAGGAATCTAAACTATGGGGAGGAGTGTTTAGTTTCTTCTCCCTACGTCTCTCCCTGAGGCGATTATCTACATGTATGGCTAACGAAATTAACTCCTCAAGTGAGGATGGCTCGTCACAAGCACCCACTCTCAGCCGCCACTGTGCGGAACTCAATGGAGAATTCCGCCACAGACTGAGAGCCCTGGGTGAGGGAAAACAACCGCTTGGTAAATTCTGGTCCCTCGACAGGATTATCAAAAACTTTGTGAAGTTCCTCAGAGAATCGGGCATATGAGGACAACATAGGTGAATCTTCTTTCCAAACCGCAGTAGCCCACTTAGCAGCTTTGCCTCTCAACAGATTGACAGTGTAGGCTATTCTGGATTTGTCTGAGGGGTAACTAATAGGCTGCCGATCAAAGACAAGGGCACAGCGGAGCAGGAAACCTTTGCAGCCCCCAATCTCCCCAGCATACGGCTCGGTAGGAGGGACATAAGGCTCTTTGAAGACAGGAGAGGGTGAAGAGGAGGCCGTACTCACAGAGGGGGGAGACCCAGATTGCTGTGGGGGGAGCCGGGAGAGGACTTGATCCGCCAGTTGCACTACTTGAACGGTGAGGCCTTGAAAGGCTTGGTTGAGGCCCTGGAGCATGTCCTCCTGTTGACCGAGGCGAAGTCCAAGCTTTTGGATGGCTTGTTGGTCTCTGTCTGGGTCTGCTGGGTCCATTTTCCTGGCCTTAGTATTCTGTGGCATGTGGTGTAGATTGTGGACCCAGAAGCAGACCCAGAGGCAGATAGCAAATTGAAGATGTATTTAATGTCCAACTCAGGGAAAAAGGCACGAGAGAAAGTCCGGTTGGCTGGCTGGCTGGCTGTTGTGTGGGCTGGAGACACTGTTGAGAAGCAGAGGAGAAGGAGGTGAGAAGACATACAAGGAATCACAGGGAGCAAAATTACTATCACTTAGCCGAGGAGAAGGCCGGGAGAAGCGTCTGTACCACTCGGGAGTGAAGACAATACTCAGGCGCTGAGACTGAGGGCTGCTGGCTTCTTAAAGGGCCTTGATTGCAGATGCAGTGCAGGTGTGGAGTCTCACTCAGCCTCAGTGACTGGGGAGGGGGAGGGTGCTCTGAAAAAAGAGTCAAGCCAGACCAGGGAAACAAAGAAACAACCAAAATAAAACAAGAGGAGGAGGCGTCTCACCACAATTACGTGAGACAACAGACAATTGAATTTCCCTTTGGGGATCAATAAAGTTCTTCTTATTCTTATTCTCTCCGTCTAATTCTCATCTCCCCTTTGCTCTGAGAAAACTGAGGATCTTATTATCATAATTATCATTACTATTTAATATTATGAATATTATCATTAAAAAAACTTTCTCTCTGTCTGGTTCTCATCTCCTCTTTGCTCTGAGAATACTGAGGTTCTCATTTCTCGCTGTCAGCTGTTATCTACAGTATGACCAAGCTGACCTTCTGTTCTTGTTGCCTTGTTTTCTTTGTTTGACAGATTTCCTCTTTATACACACAGTCATATTTGGAAGAATCATATTATAGTCAGAATAAAACAACAGATATATTTTAATCCACTACTATAGTCACCTGGAAACAAAACCACATGGACATCATTGTTCTGGTCTACTTTACATATTGACACATAGATGCTATTGTCTCTCTTCTTCAGAGGAGCTGGTAGATTATTATCACTCTTAGACGTTATCACACAGCATATTTACAGTTCACTGTTTGGATGCAGAGGACACAACACCAAACACTGAAGCTGGGACTCCATCAGGCCAAATCTGACTGTCCTCAAAGGTAAATACTGAACCTTATTTCTTCATATCTCTGAATTCACACAAAGATGTTAGAGCTGCATTAGAGCTGGGATACGCAGAAACAGTCGACCAATACATGTGAATGTCTGTTGAAGGTTCATTCCAGTCTGAATCTTGAGTAAGAGTAATCACAGATGTCTGATCATCCTGTCAGATGGTTCATACAGCTGGATGTTTCTCTAGGACTCAGAGTTTTAGTTGGTGACAAACTTTCAAACCAAATCTGACAGAGAGAGCGCTTTAATATGCTTAATCTGTGTCCATTACATTCATGCAGGTTAATGCAGGTCAACGTGTTTATCTCCTCCATATTTCCATGAAAACTGATGAAGAGATGATCTATACAGAGGAGGATGGAGATGTTTAGGTTGGATCATGATGAAACTGGGAGTTACTAACAGAGTCATATTTAATAACCTGAGACATACATCAGTTTGAGGACAGATTTGAACCTTCATGTCAAAGTAGCTGGTCTAACAAACTGCTTCTGAAGTGACGATATTTGTGGAGGTCGGTTGGAAACGTACTCGCCCAGACAGTGTTACAGTATGATCAATAAGGATGAATTCAACTAGAATATAACAATAAAAGACCACTGTTGTTCATCAATAATAATAAAAAACACTCTTCATTGTCTTTATAGAGATTTGGTCACTGCTCTGCAGATTCATCTAACACTAACCCTGTAGGAGATTTCAAAGTGTCGGAGCTGAAATGTTGGTTTTTAATTCTGATCGACTTTTTTTAACCAGGGAGTTTTATTTTATCAATTTGATGTTTTTTTTTTTTGTCTTTTTCTTCCTTTTTAGTTTCATGCATAACAGAGTGAGTAATGAGAGGAAAACATGTGTTTAAAGGTGGAATTCAATCTGACCACAAACACCAGATTAGCTGAGTTCTCATGGTTTTCCCTCTCTTTAAACTGAGACGTGTTGTTTAGGTTCACATTTCTGTAGCTGACTCCTGATCTACTTTGACTTTCTCCCATCCACTGAGCTCATTTGAATATAGGACAGTGATGTGACATCTATATACATATAGATCTGTGACTGAAACTCCTGTCTTCGTATTCCTGTTTGGACCTTTAGGTCATATGTTATCAGGATGAATCATCACAGATGATATTTATAGAGACTTTTCCAAACTTGGTGACCGACCGCTACGACAAATTTACAGAGACGTGTGCTGAGAGAAGAAGACTTCTGTTGTTGTGACTGTATGGAAATGGAAAAAACAAAGTCTGTGGGCTGATGATGTTTGCATACATGTAAATACAGACAGACTTATTCTCACACTTTGCATCAAAAACAGAAAAACAAATTGGCCACGTGACTTTTGTTTGTTTTTTGATTTTCAGTCTAGAGCGGTAAAAAGAGGAGACCACCTGACTTAGTTTCTGGTTCAGAACCATAGACCAAAACCACAAGACCTTCTCAAAGTTCAAAACAAGGTGGTAAAAGGAGAAAAGAAAGACCAAAGAAGAAGAACGGGCTAAAGGTGCTTTGAGTTAGGATTATTGGCATCAGACGGTAAAGGTTATCCAGTTTCTTTAAAACAATAAAGAGTGTATAACAGTCGTTAGAAATGATCCAACCATACCCTGAGAGTAAAACTGAGAGCCTGAAACTGTGGCTGATATTTGACCTCACAGGAATCATCAACCATAATGAAAAGATTGAAGGATTTGTTTTCCTGTTATAAGCAGTGATCTCTCAACCCCAGACTGGAAGAATGGAGGACGTCTTCACCAACTTCACCAACTTCACCAACCAGACTGTCTACGGCCCACAGGAAGCTGTTCCCCCTGACTTTAACTTGTGGAATGTAATACAGCCGTCAGTCTTTCTTCTATTCAGAAATAATATCACGCGTGTGGTGACATATGCTGTTGCTTCCATTGGCATTCCTCTGATCCTCATGGCCATCTACTCTGTGTATTTTATGGTAAGTTCATTATATATATATATATATAGAATATATTCATGTGCTCTTCATGTCAGTCTGTGTCTGTGGTATCATGTGTCTAAGCTGTACTGTCTTATTTTCAGACTTAAAAATAATAATTATGATTATTATTTAATGCTTTTCCCTGTTGTCCAGTGAACAGTGGAAACACAGTCACTGATTGGCCCGGTTATTTTCTGATTTCTAATACACGCCCCTAATGGGCCGAAGTCCAGACTGTTGTGGGAAGGAACAGGAAGTGATTCACGCAACTGGATGGCCCAGCCAGGCTAAAAACCTGTACATGGGGGAGAACGACCCCACACCCTCCAAAGTTTGGGGCCAGGCCTCTGAAGTGATCACTGACTAGCTCCGCCCCTTTATTACAAATGTGAAAAACCTCCAAACTGATGGACGATCAGAGTCAGCCCCTCCTGCTGTAACTGACCACGATAAGGCACCTGCCTTGGTCTGCCGCCAAATCCACCAAGTACCGGATCCTTTAAGTTCCTCCATAGGGTGGTGGGTCCACAGGAGGTGGTGCCCATGTGGCTCATTCGGTCAGAGCCCAGCCGGGCCCCATGGGTGCAGGCCCAGCCACCAGGTGCTCACCAGCGAGCCCCAACCCTGGGCCTGGCTCCAGGGTGGGGCCCCGGTGTCCCTTCGAGCCGGGTACACTGTTTCCCTTTGTTCTTCTCCACGTGGGTCTTCTGAACAGTTCTTAGTCTGACCCTTCGCCTCGGAACAATCTGCCTTGGGAGACCCTACCAGGGGCAAAACGCCCCTGACAGCAAAGCTCCTAGGTTCATTAGAGCACGCAAACTCCTCCACCATGGTAAAGTGACAGTTAAAGGAGGAGCCGATATTTTCAGGTCCAAGTAAAATGCAGAAGTTGGATAAATGAACGGCACATGTCTGACTGACGGTGGAGATCTGAACATTTTTTAAACTGGTCACCTTCCAAACTGTTTTCCTGCAGGTACAAAGGGATCATGTTGCTCCGATCTACATCATCAACCTCCTCATTGCTGACCTCATTCAACTCTGCTGCATGATCTCATGGGAGATACCTTCAGTGGGTTGGGATGATAAAGAGATCTCCTCTGTGGTTCACCAAATTGCAGTGCTGGCCAGTGTTGGGTTCATGGTGGCTCTCGCCATGGAAAGGTAAGGACCGATCAGCCCATTTTGTGTGTAATGATGTAGGTCTGTGTGTTTTCAGACAGTAGGTGTACCTCTGAGAGTTACCGCTTCAGACTTTAACTTGACCTGCTTGACAGGGATGAGCTGTTAACTCTTTGCCCCATAAAAAAATCAGACTGGTCTCAGCTGTAGTCTTTCTGTCTGGACTTTTTCGGAGCATCACTTACTCTATCGTCTGCATTCATACTCAGATTCTTCCTGCTGTTATAACCTGCTGTCTGTTTTACCCACAGGCACAAATATTTCAGGAAGGCAACAAATGAATATTTCATAAAACCTGAAACATACCGCCATCCTGACGTATCTTCAGGGCCACTGTACCTGCCTGACAGCTCTACAGAACTTTTCTTTGAAAACAGTCTTCTAATGAAATGTTTCATTTTTCGTCTTTCTTATTACTTTTATTTTTTCTTCTTGTATTTAATTATTTACAGGTACTTGGTCATCGTCCACCCCCTGTGGTACCGTGTCAGACGATCCATCAAGTCCACTGTGGTGGTCTGTGTCGTGGTCTGGGTCGTTTCTTTTGTTTTTCACCTCTCATTTCGCACCATCGTCGTCAGCTTCCTCCTGCCCTTCCCGCTGCTCATATTCTTCCTGGTCAGGACCCTCAGAGCCCTCTCTCTCTCCATGTCAGTCCCTGTGGAGGAGAAACGAAGAATTGCAGGAGTTTTAATCTTGGTGCTGGTCATTTATACACTGGTGTTCCTGCCTGCCATCATTTTTATCCTGGCAGAGACACAGCATAATATGTTATTTGTGGGTCAAACTCTGGACCAAATGTATCACATATGTATGAGGTTGAGTGTTATCGCTGACTTGGTTCTGTATGTTTTCATGAGAAAGATCTCACACTTAGTGTGCTGTTGCAAAGTAAAAACCAACGATCCACAAACAACAACCACTGATGGTGGAAGTGGAGCTTAAGCTGAATTCACCTCTGAAAACATGAACAACTACAATTCCAAAACCAGTGGTGAGCAATGAGGTCCAACAGTTTGTGCAAAACCTCAAAAGACTCAATTTAATAAGATTCAGTTAAAAGGAAATAAATAATATAATGAAACTGAGAAACCTCATTGATTTATGAAAATATGAACTCTAATAAAGATAAACAGGTCAGAAGTTCTGATAGAGGAACAACCAAACAGGTCAGAAGTTCTGATAGAGGAACAACCAAACAGGTCAGAAGTTGTCATACTAACATAAACAGCTGGAGGAACATCTCCAGCAGGTTGGTCACATGACTCGGTCTTAAAGAGGAAATCCAGAGAGGCTGGGTCTCTCTCCTAAAAACCATGAAATCTGAACAACATCTCCAGGTTTAGGACCAACATCTGCGTCCGTCCAGACAAAGACTTTTTCAGGGAAGACCTTCATCTGAGTCCAAACCACATTCTGACAACAGCATGGCTCTGTAGGAGAAGAGTCCTGCTGAGAACCTGCTCTGTCTGAAACATGTAACTGGTAACAACTTAAAACTGAGCACATAGATTAGTCCTAAAAAACAACATTGTTCAGTTTTAATGTCTTGGATTTCGTGTTTATTTAGACTAAATTAAATGTTAAAAGGATCTGCAAACCACCAAATGATCTTTGAATCACCCAAACACAGAGTCAGGACGTTTTTGGAGTTGGGGTTGTAATCGTACTTTCTTGAATGTTGTGGCAGTGATTTATTTTATTTTACAGCTGGGTGTCTTTTATATTTATTAAAGGATAAGGATTCATTTCTTCCTCTATCTTTGTACCATATCCTCCTAAATATCAAACTTGTTTATGGTAGATCACGTAAACTTCTTCAGAGTAGTTAATTCTTCTGATTTGTGGAGTAGAGGTGTTAAAGAGCAGACAATAGAAATACTGCAGTTCAATTCAAACACCTCTAAAAGTACTTGGGTACCGTACTCAGCTGTTTTAGTCTCCAGCAGTCTGTACATAGAAATGTTGATAAAAAGGAGTTTTGTGTCTGATTGAAAGTGGTCTTTTAAAATAAAACTAAATCAGAAATCTCCACGTCAAACAAACTGTGATCCGTCAGAATTGATCAATCAATCAATAAGTGTACAGACAGGTTCAATGTAAAACTGTGTGACTACAGCTATGACGGTCCATCCATTGTGTGTTAAAGTCTCTATATCAGTGATGAGTTTGGTTTGCTGTTGCAGGTCACTAAGAAGCATTAGTGCTAACTTTCTATCTGCTGTCAGGACCACCTTTAGCTCCTGGTTTATGTGGATCTGTATTTATCTGCTCCAAGACAATAAACCTTTGCTGCCTCTGCCTTCAGTTTTCTGACTCCAACCACTTTGAACCTGTTTTTGACAACAAAACCAGATCCATCAGTTTTACTCACAGTTATACCGGTCAGACTTCGTACGACCACGCACTTTTGAGTCAATGTTGTTGATGCAGAAAAGGATCTTTCTCCTCCCTCACCGTGGCCGTGGTCATCTCAACCAAACCTGCAGATTTAGAACACAAATCTGTGATTGAAATCCTCATTTAGATCAGCAGGATTAAGTTAGCTAACGAGGTAACGTAGTTTATTTCTGAGGGATCATTTTCATTAGTAGTCATGTAAGCAGTAGAAGTAGTTTTAGAATAGAAGAAGTAGAAGTAAAAGCAGTAGAGCTCATAGTAGAAGTAAGAGTAGAAGTAAAAAAATATTAAGAGAAGCAAGAGCAGTGGAGGTAGAAGTGAAGATCCAAGTTAAAGTGACATAAGTAGTAATTGTAGTGGTAGAACTGGGATTTTGTTTGAAGAATTAAAACATACATAAATAATGAGAATGATTTTGAAGTGGGAAAAAATTTAAATAATTAGAAGTCCTAATGTGTTAAACAGGTTTGAAGTATCAGAAAGGTTTGAATCAGTTTAAAGGAGTTTGGATTTGTCTGAAGAATTTAATAATGCATGAATAATGAGAATAATTTGTGGGGAAAAGTTAATGAATAAAAAACCTGAGTACACCCCATAATGTCCTCAATGAGCTGAATTTTTGGAGCCCTGAATGGTTTCTGTAGCTCAAAGTTTGTAGTCCTCGCTTTGTGGGTCTTTTCTCATAGACCTCACAAAGCAGCAAGTACAAGAATGTGTATGTGTGTGTGTGTGTGTGTGTGTGTGTGTGTGTGTGTGTGTGTGTGTGTGTGTGTGTGTGTGTGTGTGTGTGTGTGTGTTAATTAATGCATCTTGACAGGTGATAGACATCAAAGACATTAACTGACCTACTGTTTGAATGTGAAGCTGCTGAACTGCAGTGAATTTAGGGCCTCTGAACTTTTTCATGTAGCGTGATTTCCTTAAATCCCAGAATGAAAATAAGAACATCGTACAAATCCTCCGCCCTTCATGAACACAATGATGTGTTTTTCATGTCTGTACTCCAAAAAATGTGGCCACAACAGCAAGTTAAAAAAGTCTGAACCTGAGTGACGATCAGGATTTTCTTGGAGAAAAAATACATTAGGGTTAATGGGGAGAGATCTCCGCCTATTTGGACAGTTGGTCACCTGCTGGCCAAGGGGAATGATTTAATGATTTGAAACCTCTTTTGTGAGAAGCAGGACACATATACCTCCATTTTGATGTATTTTTTATGGCTGTGGAGTGAAATTTGTGGGCGTGGGAGCGATATATTCGAGCAAGGTTCTGTCGATCAGAGAGGAGGTCTGCACTCTAGCTTTTAAATCATCACTCTAGCCTCTCCAATACACACCCATTATAAAGCCTGAAAATTTGCTGAAAACCATGAGGTGCATAAAGCTAAACTGTGGAAAAACTGTAGGAGATAGCACAAAAAGGTCAATACAACATATTTAAAGGAGAAGATTGTGAACTTTTTAAAGCAAAAATTAGGTCTGTAGGTGAAAGTATGCTGAAGTTATAAGGCTGAGAAGGTGGAGGTGTAAAAGGTAGAATTTGAAGATTTCCCCATTCATTTTTAATGGGAAAAATTTTGCACAAAAAGTAAAAAATATCAAAAAGGGGTAGAAAAGTGAAAAATACATCCGCAATTTTCCTGAAGGAGAGGAATAGTTGAACGGTTGAAATCGCACAAAGTTTAAAGGAGTTGAAAAGTGACAAAAAAGGAACGAAAGAATAATAATAATGATAATAATAATAATAATAATAATAATAAAGAAATAGGAGAATAACAATAAGTGGAAATGCTTAATCAGCATTTCCACTTAATTAATCATTCATATACAAAGACAACCTGTCTCACTTATGAAGACGAGCTCTATTAAACTGAACAATCATCATTAAAAAGGATGTTGCTTCATGTAATGCAGAGGGAAGACTGCACAATCTTCTTGAAAGCCTAATTTCCTCTTTTCAGGTGTGTCACAAGGAAAGGACTAAGATTCATAGTAATGATAAGAACTAAAATAGTTATATTATAATTATAATGATGATAATTGTTCTTATCATAATCATAATAATAATAATAGTCATTCATTGTTATTAGTTTTTATTATTTTTATTATTACCGTTATTATTATTAAAATTTGTTATTATTGTCATTATTATTATTTATTGTTATTATTTTCATCACATTATAATTCTAATTATTATAATTCAACATTATTATTTTCATAATTTCCATTATCATTATAACAAATATTAATAATATTTAAAATAATAATAATAATAATAATTATTCTTATTATTATTATTATTATCATTACTAAAGATAATAGCATGACCTTTGCTCTGAGAATACTGAGGTTTTCATTATTATTTTCATAATTATCATCATTATAATTAATATCATTATTGTTACTATCAAAAAAAAAAAAACACTTCTCTCCGACTCGTTCTCATATCCCCTTTGCTCTGAGAATACTGAGGATCTTATTATCATTATCATATATTATCATCATTATTAATATTTAAATTATTATTTTTGGTAGTAGTATAATCATAGTTATTAACATTATAATAAAAAACTTTCTCTTTGTCTCGTTTTCATCTCCCCTTTGCTCTGAGAATACTGAGGTTCTCATTATCATTATCATCATCATTATTAATATTATAATTATAACTTTCATTTTAAAAACCCTTTCTCTCTATCTCGTTCTCATCTCCCCTTAGCTTTGAGAATACCGAGGTTCTCATTATCATAATTATCATTACTATAAATTATTATTATTATTATTATTACAATCATTAAAAAAAAACCATTCTGTCAGTCTTATTCTCATCTCCCCTTTGCTCTGAGAATACTGAGGTTCTCATTATCATAATTATCATTACTATTTTATATTATTAATATTATTATTACTATCACTTAAAAAACCTTTCTTTCTGTCTCGTTCTCATCTCCTCTTTGCTCTGAGAATACTGAGGTTCTCATTTCTCGCTGTCAGCTGTTATCTACAGTATGACCAAGCTGACCTTCTGTTCTTGTTGCCTTGTTTTCTTTGTTTGACAGATTTCCTCTTTATACACACAGTCATATTTGGAAGAATCATATTATAGTCAGAATAAAACAACAGATATATTTTAATCCACTACTATAGTCACCTGGAAACAAAACCACATGGACATCATTGTTCTGGTCTACTTTACATATTGACACATAGATGCTATTGTCTCTCTTCTTCAGAGGAGCTGGTAGATCATTATCACTCTTAGACGTTATCACTCAGCATATTTACAGTTCACTGTTTGGATGCAGAGGACACAACACCAAACACTGAAGCTGGGACTCCATCAGGCCAAATCTGACTGTCCTCAAAGGTAAATACTGAACCTTATTTCTTCATATCTCTGAATTCACACACAGATGTTAGAGCTGCATTAGAGCTGGGATACGCAGAAACAGTCGACCAATACATGTGAATGTCTGTTGAAGGTTCATTCCAGTCTGAATCTTGAGTAAGAGTAATCACAGATGTCTGATCATCCTGTCAGATGGTTCATACAGCTGGATGTTTCTCTAGGACTCAGAGTTTTAGTTGGTGACAAACTTTCAAACCAAATCTGACAGAGAGAGCGCTTTAATATGCTTAATCTGTGTCCATTACATTCATGCAGGTTAATGCAGGTCAACGTGTTTATCTCCTCCATATTTCCATGAAAACTGATGAAGAGATGATCTATACAGAGGAGGATGGAGATGTTTAGGTTGGATCATGATGAAACTGGGAGTTACTAACAGAGTCATATTTAATAACCTGAGACATACATCAGTTTGAGGACAGATTTGAAGCTTCATGTCAAAGTAGCTGGTCTAACAAACTGCTTCTGAAGTGACGATATTTGTGGAGGTCGGTTGGAAACGTACTCGCCCAGACAGTGTTACAGTATGATCAATAAGGATGAATTCAACTAGAATATAACAATAAAAGACCACTGTTGTTCATCAATAATAATAAAAAACACTCTTCATTTTCTTTATAGAGATTTGGTCACTGCTCTGCAGATTCATCTAACACTAACCCTGTAGGAGATTTCAAAGTGTCGGAGCTGAAATGTTGGTTTTTAATTCTGATCGACTTTTTTTTAACCAGGGAGTTTTATTTTATCAATTTGATGTTTTTTTTTTTGTCTTTTTCTTCCTTTTTAGTTTCATGCATAACAGAGTGAGTAATGAGAGGAAAACATGTGTTTAAAGGTGGAATTCAATCTGACCACAAACACCAGATTAGCTGAGTTCTCATGGTTTTCCCTCTCTTTAAACTGAGACGTGTTGTTTAGGTTCACATTTCTGTAGCTGACTCCTGATCTACTTTGACTTTCTCCCATCCACTGAGCTCATTTGAATATAGGACAGTGATGTGACATCTATATATATATAGATCTGTGACTGAAACTCCTGTCTTTGTATTCCTGTTTGGACCTTTAGGTCATATGTTATCAGGATGAATCATCACAGATGATATTTATAGAGACTTTTCCAAACTTGGTGACCGACCGTTACGTCAAATTTACAGAGACGTGTGCTGAGAGAAGAAGACTTCTGTTGTTGTGACTGTATGGAAATGGAAAAAACAAAGTCTGTGGGCTGATGATGTTTGCATACATGTAAATACAGACAGACTTATTCTCACACTTTGCATCAAAAACAGAAAAACAAATTGGCCATGTGACTTTTTTTTTTTTTTTTTGATTTTCAGTCTAGAGCGGTAAAAGGAGGAGACCACCTGACTTAGTTTCTGGTTCAGAACCATAGACCAAAACCACGAGACCTTCTCAAAGTTCAAAACAAGGTGGTAAAAGGAGAAAAGAAAGACCAAAGAAGAAGAACGGGCTAAAGGTGCTTTGAGTTAGGATTATTGGCATCAGACGGTAAAGGTTATCCAGTTTCTTTAAAACAATGAAGAGTGTATAACAGTCGTTAGAAATGATCCAACCATACCCTGAGAGTAAAACTGAGAGCCTGAAACTGTGGCTGATATTTGACCTCACAGGAATCATCAACCATAATGAAAAGATTGAAGGATTTGTTTTCCTGTTATAAGCAGTGATCTCTCAACCCCAGACTGGAAGAATGGAGGACGTCTTCACCAACTTCACCAACGGTACCAACCAGACTGTCTACGGCCTACGGGAGAACTCAGCTCCCCGTGCCCCAGAAGAGCGGATTCCAAATTTAACATACTATCTTGTAGACTCATTTGATATCGTGCGTAAGGTGACATTTGCTATTGCTTCCATTGGCATTCCTCTGATCCTCATGGCCATCTACTCTGTGTATTTTATGGTAAGTTCATTATCATTGAATATATTCATGTGCTCTTCATGTCAGTCTGTGTCTGTGGTATCATGTGTCTAAGCTGTACTGCCTTATTTTCAGACTTATAATAATAATAGAAAAAAAATAACAACAGTAACTGACCACAATAACTGACCACAGTAAGTGTCCTCAAAAACTGACCACAAAAACTGACAACACTGATTGACCCCAGTGAACGACGACATTAACTGACCACAATAACAGACCATAGCAACTGTCCACAGTATTAGACCACAGTAACTGACTACAATAACTTTCCACAGGGACTGACCACAGTAAATGACAGAAGTGACTGACCAGTGAAACAGCTCTGGTATTGAGATAATTCCAGGTTAAAAGTTTTGGTCATTTAAAAACTAAAAGAAATTTTAATAAAATTGAAGCTGAAAGTTCGAGGTTTGATCTTGAAATTTGAAAAATTAAAAACACTGTATTCAGATTAAAAATTAGTCTTTGAAAGTTAATTTCAATCTTAATAAAGTTGTGAGTCAGCTCTGGAATTCTTTTGATAAAATCATTTATTTTTATTTTTCTCTCTTAAATACATTTGTTAAATTTAAAGGAGTTAAATGAACAAACCCTTTGGTCTGGATTCAGCTCCATATTCCGGTATTTTCAGGTCCAAGTTAAATGCAGAAGTTGGATAAATGAACGGCACATGTCTGACTGACGGTGGAGATCTGAACATTTTTCTAAACTGGTCACCTTCCAAACTGTTTTCCTGCAGGTACAAAGTGATCATGTTGCTCCGATCTACATCATCAACCTCCTCATTGCTGACCTCATTCAACTCTGCTGCATGATCTCATGGGAGACACCTTCAGTGGGTCGGTATGATAAAGAGATCTCCTCTGAGGTTCACCAAACTGCAGTGCTGGCCAGTGTTGGGTTCATGGTGGCTATCGCCATGGAAAGGTAAGGACTGATCAGCCCATTTTGTGTGTAATGATGTAGGTCTGTGTGTTTTCAGACAGTAGGTGTACCTCTGAGAGTTACAGCTTCAGGTTCATTATTTACAGGTACTTGGTCATCGTCCACCCCCTGTGGTACCGTGTCAGACGATCCATCAAGTCCACTGTGGTGGTCTGTGTCGTGGTCTGGGTCGTTTCTTTTGGTTTTCACCTGTCACGTCCTACCATACTCGTCAGCTTCCTCCTGCCCTTCCCGCTGCTCATATTCTTCCTGGTCAGGACCCTCAGAGCCCTCTCTCTCTCCATGTCAGTCCCTGTGGAGGAGAAACGAAGAATTGCAGGAGTTTTAATCTTGGTGCTGGTCATTTATACGCTGCTGTTCCTGCCTGCCATCATTGTTTTAGTAAAACCCTGGACTTTAACTCTGGACACAATATATAACATATGTATTAGGTTGAGTGTTATCGCTGACTTGGTTCTGTATGTTTTCATTAGGAAAGGGACCATATCCAAGATCTTAGACTTAGTGTGCTGTTGCAAAGTAAAAACCAACGATCCACAAACAACAACCACTGATGGTGGAAGTGGAGCTTAAGCTGAATTCACCTCTGAAAACATGAACAACTACAATTCCAAAAACAGTGGTGAGCAATGAGGTCCAACAGTTTGTGCAAAACCTCAAAAGACTCAATTTAATAAGATTCAGTTAAAAGGAAATAAATAATATAATGAAACTGAGAAACCTCATTGACTCTCTAATAAAGATAAACAGGTCAGAAGTTCTGATAGAGGAAGAACCAAACAGGTCAGAAGTTGTCATACTAACATGAACAGCTGGAGGAACATCTCCAGCAGGTTGGTCACATGACTCGGTCTTAAAGAGGAAATCCAGAGAGGCTGAGTCTCTCTCCTAAAAACCATGAAATCTGAACAACATCTCCAGGTTTAGGACCAACATCTGCGTCCGTCCAGACAAAGACTTTTTCAGGGAAGACCTTCATCTGAGTCCAAACCACATTCTGACAACAGCATGGCTCTGTAGGAGAAGAGTCCTGCTGAGAACCTGGTCTGTCTGAAACATGTAACTGGTAACAACTTAAAACTGAGCACATAGATTAGTCCTAAAAAATAACATTGTTCAGTTTTAATGTCTTGGATTTCGTGTTTATTTAGACTAAATTAAATGTTAAAAGGATCTGCAAACCACCAAATGATCTTTGAATCACCCAAACACAGAGTCAGGACGTTTTTGGAGTTGGGGTTGTAATCGTACTTTCTTGAATGTTGTGGCAGTGATTTATTTTATTTTACAGCTGGGTGTCTTTTGTATTTATAAAAGGATAAGGATTCATTTCTTCCTCTATCTTTGTACCATATCCTCCTAAATATCAAACTTGTTTATGGTAGATCACGTAAACTTCTTCAGAGTAGTTAATTCTTCTGATTTGTGGAGTAGAGGTGTTAAAGAGCAGACAATAGAAATACTGCAGTTCAATTCAAACACCTCTAAAAGTACTTGGGTACCGTACTCAGCTGTTTTAGTCTCCAGCAGTCTGTACATAGAAATGTTGATAAAAAGGAGTTTTGTGTCTGATTGAAAGTGGTCTTTTAAAATAAAACTAAATCAGAAATCTCCACGTCAAACAAACTGTGATCCGTCAGAATTGATCAATCAATCAATAAGTGTACAGACAGGTTCAATGTAAAACTGTGTGTCTACAGCTATGACGGTCCATCCATTGTGTGTTGAAGTCTCTATATCAGTGATGAGTTTGGTTTGCTGTTGCAGGTCACTAAGAAGCATTAGTGCTAACTTTCTATCTGCTGTCAGGACCACCTTTAGCTCCTGGTTTATGTGGATCTGTATTTATCTGCTCCAAGACAATAAACCTTTGCTGCCTCTGCCTTCAGTTTTCTGACTCCAACCACTTTGAACCTGTTTTTAACAACAAAACCAGATCCATCAGTTTTACTCACAGTTATACCGGTCAGACTTTGTACGACCGTGCACTTTTGAGAAACGAACTGAGCTGAACTGGATCCCGGATGATACCTGACTGATGCTGAACCAGCTTTTAGAAACGAGAGCTTCTCTGAGGGACCTCATCCAGTGGTCTTGAACTGAGGAGAGTTATGGGGAGGTTGAGTCGCAGTCAACGGACGAACACTCAAACCTCAGATTTGGGTGTTTGCTGTAAAACAGGAAGTAGTTTTTATCTCCGCCATGCTTGCTCCAAGCTGACCAAAACTCACCACGTGTGTTTGAGATCCAGGAATGAACAAATTCATAACTTTATTATTTCACGTGTTTTACCCCAACGTTTGCATCATACCCCGACGTAGGACTGGGCGATGAAACGATAATGATATAAATCAAAAATTATTTTCCCTGGATATCGATATGAAACATGGTCAATATGCTTTCCGATAGTCGGCATTCTGCCGTGTTTTGGTAGACTGTACGAATAGCCAATGAAAAGGGGAGTTGCTCTGAGTCTGCGCTGCGCTGAATCAATCATGTGCTGAATTAGAACAAAGTATCAAACAACTGTGTAAAACAAAAACGTCGGTGGCGTGGAGGTATTTTGTTTTTTTGAGGTCGGACAGAAGCAGAGTGGAGAACATTGTTTCCTTTACTAATGAATGTTTTTAAATTTGTTTGTAGTTGTGTATCTGTTTGAAATAGTTCTATGTTACATAACGTCATTTTCAACTTTGACAGAAAAAATAAATACTTAAATTAAAATGAACCTTCTGATATATTTAAATTTCATGTAAGAGTAACAGGGAACGTTAAAGACTGTAAAGTGATTGTTTTTGTTTTGTGATAGATATCGATATCGACTGATATGAAAAAAAAAGAACTGTGATAAACTCTTTCCCATATCGCCCAGCCCGACCCCGACACGTTAGGGTCTGCATGTTATATCGAAAAGCTAAAGAGGCCTGAAATGTAACAAGTATCTACTAGATTTTAGGCTCAGCCTCTTCTTAGATTATTGACCAGTTGTTACGTGTCTTTTATTTGGGGCCTGAACTTGGCCTTGACTCGCCTCGGTGTGGCCCTCTTCCTCCATCCTGTGACCGTCGTCTGGTCGCTGCTGCTGCTGCAGAAATCTTCTCTCCGTCTGGTGAAGGCTGCAGAACGGAGCAGAGAGACATCTGTAAAAACTCACTTTATTGGCATTGTGCAGCCGAGTGTGAAATCACAACAGAGCCGCTCTTGTTCAGAAGCATTGCACCATCCCTGGAGAGATCCGCCGTTCACACGGTGACCAGCAGCCTCACCTGTTCCAGCCAATGAGCGGCTTTACCTGACTGCGTCACACCGTGTTACCTGGACTCTGAACCAGCAGCTACCTGAGGAGTCCGTTTTCCTGAACAGGTGGATCGGATTCTGCAGAACCAGATGTGCTGAAACACGCCGGGTGAAGTCCTCCAACACACTGTTGCATAAGATCAGTCTGAGCCAAGGTTCCTGCTGCTGCTGCTGCGTCAGACCTGCAGAGTGTGTGTGTGTGTGTGTCTGTGTATGTAGTGTGTATTGTAGGTCAGTGCAGCTGCAGACCCTCTCTTTATGACTGCTGCACATTATCCTATTCCCTCATTCCCCATTGTGAAATTTGTTATCTATCATGTGACTGGCTGGGATCCATTAGCACCCCCCCCCTCTCTAATGGAGGTGATGGTGACGGATGGCGTTTCTCCCCACGTTCAGGGGTCTGGACGGGTGTTTATTTGCGCAGCAGTGGAGTCAGAGGGAGTCTGCCTGTTGGAGCTGCACATATTTAAGAGAAGATTCATGTGTGTGAAGAACCAGCTGACCCAAATTCTTCATATGTGCAAACATCTACGCCCTCCGCCATCGCCGCCGCCATGACGCTGTGTATCATCCATCCACCACGCAACAGTGGACGTAACCGCAGTGACATCACCCGCTCCCCATGTGTTCTGGTGACCATATTTTAATCCTGGGGGGGGGTGAGACAGAGTCCTAGACCTCGCCAAGAGCCGTGACTGAACCAGATTAACGCTTTGACAGCCAAGTTCTGTTCCAAAGGTTTCAAAACAATCTGTAATCTGGTCTAAACAGGTGAGTTTAATCTGTAATCTGGTCTAAACAGGTGAGTTTAATCTGTAATCTGGTCTAAACAGGTGAGTTTAATCTGTAATCTGGTCTAAACAGGTGAGTTTAATCTGTAATCTGGTATCAACAGGTCGAGTTTAATCTGTAATGTGGTATCTAACAGTGAGATTAATCTGTACTCTGGTATAAACAGGTGAGTTTAATCTGTAATCTGGTCTAAACAGGTGAGTTTAATCTGTAATCTGGTATCAACAGTCGAGTTTACTCTGGTATAAACAGGTGAGTTTAATCTGTAATCTGGTCTAAACAGGTGAGTTTAATCTGTAATCTGGTCTAAACAGGTGAGTTTAATCTGTAATCTGGTCTAAACAGGTGAGTTTAATCTGTAATCCCGTGTAAACAGGTGAGTTTAATCTGTAATCCGGTGTAAACAGGTGAGTTTAATCTGTAATCTGGTCTAAACAGGTGAGTTTAATCTGTAATCTGGTATCAACAGTCGAGTTTACTCTGGTATAAACAGGTGAGTTAGATCTTTAATCCCGCGTAAACAGGTGAGTTTAATCTGTAATCCGGTGTAAACAGGTGAGTTTAATCTGTAATCTGGTCTAAACAGGTGAGTTTAATCTGTAATCTGGTCTAAACAGGTGAGTTTAAACTGTAATCTGGTATCAACAGTCGAGTTTAATCTGTAATGTGGTGCTAACAAGTGAGATTAATCTGTACTCTGGTCTAAACAGGTGAGTTTAATCTGTAATCTAGTCTAAACAGGTGAGTTTAATCTGTAATCTGGTATCAACAGTCGAGTTTACTCTGGTATAAACAGGTGAGTTAAATCTTTAACCCCGTGTAAACAGGTGAGTTTAATCTGTAATCTGTGTGTGAAAAGTTTTATCCGTAATCCTGAGACCATACTGTTTCTGCTCCTGACTGTTAACATGTTTATTTCCTGCAGTAAAAGTTTAACATCGGGCTCTTTGGGGACTGACTTACTGTAGGACAGCGCCTCTAATGGACACCTGAGGAACTGCAGGTTAAAAGCTGTTTTTAATATAAACAGAGGAGATGGACTGATGGAGTCGGCCTGTCTGTGGAGCTCAGTGGAGTCATACAGATCCCATCGCTCTCTGGGAGCCTGATAACAAGCTGGTGCCACAGCAGAACTTCACATGAGAGAGTGAGAGAGTGAGAGAGTGAGAGAGTGAGATCGACTTAAAGCCACAAGGAGAACTCGGACCTCCATCCATCACCGTCTCCAACCAAACACCATGATCCCCCAGTGTCAGGGTAAAGGATGGGGGTTATCAGCCAAAGACCTGGGAGAGGAGCCGGGCTGCGGGGTCTGGACTGATACCACGATGAAGGAGAAGCTGCTGTCTGACCAGAATACACTTTACAAAGTACCAGGAACTTTTAATAACACCGCTTTACACTAGTGGAAGTCATGAGAGCTGCTCTTTCACAGAGATGCTGAAGAGAGAGAGAGAGAGAGAGAGAGAGAGAGAGAGAGAGAGAGAGAGAGAGAGAGAGAGAGAGAGAGAGAGAGAGAGAGAGAGAGAGAGAGAGAGAGAGAGAGAGAGAGAGAGAGAGAGAGAGAGAGAGAGAGAGAGAGAGAGAGAGAGAGAGAGGGAGAGAGAACAACGTCTCCGTGTTCCTGATCCTCGTCTTCTGAGCGGATCACTCCACACAGAGGGGTCAGGGCTGAACCATGGAAAAGCAATAAGAGGTCCAAGAACACACACACACACACACACACACACACACGCACGCACACACACACACACACACACACACACTCAGAAAGGTCACCCAGCTGTGTAAAGGAGCCAAAATACACTTAACTAATCTGCTTGATCTGTCGATTTATCGACGATGAAAATTTCAAAAGGTTTGAAACTCGAGCTGCATGCGTCTCCTAAACCATAGCTGATGCAATTTCCCCTGACCGGGGGGAGGGGGGCGGGGTTAAGGTGGAGGTCTGACCAGTGGATAAGGGGCTGTTATTGGTCGCTTTAAAAACTAACCCCCCGCGATGACAGCCCACGACGAAGGAGCGAAAGACAAGACGCGTTCTTCCTGCCCCCCTTCCCTCCAAGGCTTTATTAGCCGCCCCCCCTCTGACAGAGCTACACACACACACACTCTACACACACTTCTACACACACCTCTACACACACAGCCCAACCCAAACATGTGAGACTGCAGGCTGAGGATTTACATCGTTCTCAGAGTGAGAGAGCAGATCTGTCTCAGTCTGACTCCATCACTGCGCACACACACACACACACACACACACACACACACACACACACACACACACACACACACACACAGCTCAATTTACAGTCAAGCTATCACCTGCAGTCCCATCAGTGTCCACTAGAGGCAGTTTCCTACAGTGAGTCAGTCTCCACAGAGCCCCATGTTACAGCAGAAATGAATATAATTACAGACTACATCAAAGACAATAACACTGAACAGCTGTTCACATCAGATTAGGGATTAAATGACCTTAAATTGACAGGGATGAAAACAGAGGTTTAAAAAAAACTATTATCTGACCTGGAGGGGGCGGGGTTTTGACCTTTACTGCAGCCTGTCAGTAGGGGGAGCTCTAGGCCTTTTGGCTTCATGTTCTATCATCCAACAAGTCTGTGCATGCCGACATAATATCGATATACATATATGAATGTATACATATATACATATATATGTATATATGTATATATATATACATATATACATACACATATATATATATATATATATATACACACACACACGTGGACAAAATTGTTGGTACCCCTCAGTTAAAGAAGGAAAAACCCACAATTCTCACTGAAATCACTTGAAACCTACAAAAGTAACAATGAATAAAAATTTATTGAAAATTAAATAATCAAAATCAGCCATTACTTTTGAAATGTTGATTAACATAATTATTTTAAAAAAACAAACTAATGAAATAGGGCTGGACAAAAATGATGGTACCCATAACTTAATATTTTGTTGCACAACCTTTTGGAGGCAATCACTGCAATTAAACGATTTCTGTATTTGTCAATGAGCGTTCTGCAGCTGTCAACAGGTATTTTGGCCCACTCCTCATGAGCAAACTGCTCCAGTTGTCTCAGGTTTGATGGGTGTCTTCTCCAAATGGCACGTTTCAGCTCCTTCCACAGATGTTCAATGGGATTCAGATCTGGGCTCATGGAAGGCCACTTTAGAATAGTCCAACGCTTTTCTCTCAGCCATTCTTGGATGTTTTTGGCTGTGTGTTTTGGATCGTTGCCCTGTTGGAAGACCCATGACCTGCGACTGAGACCAAGCTTTCTGACACTAGGCAGCACATTTCTCTCCAGAATGCCTTGATAGTCGTCAGATTTCATTTTACCTTGCACACATTCAAGACACCCTGTGCCAGATGCAGCAAAGCAGCCCCAAAACATTGCTGAGCCTCCTCCATGTTTCACCGTAGGGACAGTGTTCTTTTCTTCGTATGCTTGGTTTTTGAGTCTATGAACATAGAGTTGATGTGCCTTACCAAAAAGCTCCAGTTTGGTCTCATCTGTCCAAAGGACATTCTCCCAGAAGCTTTGTGGCTTGTCAACATGCATTTTTGCAAATTCCAGTCTCGCTTTTTTATGATTTTTTTTCAGCAGTGGTGTCCTCCTTGGTCGTCTCCCATGAAGTCCACTTTGGCTCAAACAACGACGAATGGTGCGATCTGACACTGATGTACCTTGGCCTTGGAGTTCACCTTTAATTTCTTTGGAGGTTGTCCTGGGCTCTTTGGATACAATTCGAACGATCTGTCTCTTCAATCTGTCATCAATTTTCCTCTTGCGGCCACGTCCAGGGAGGTTGGCTACTGTCCCATGGGTCTTGAACTTCTGAATAATATGAGCCACTGTTGTCACAGGAACTTCAAGCTGTTTAGAGATGGTCTTATAGCCTGCACCTTTAAGATGTTTGTCTATAATTTTTTTCGGATGTCCTGGGACAATTCTCTCCTTCGCTTTCTGTTGTCCATGTTCAGTGTGGTACACACCTTTTCACCAAACAGCAGAGTGACTACTTGTCTCCCTTTAAATAGGCAGACTGACTGATTATGAGTTTGGAAACACCTGTGATGTCAATTAAAGGACACACCTGAGTTAATCATGTCACTCTGGTCAAATAGTTTTCAATCTTTTATAGAGGTACCATCATTTTTGTCCAGCCCTATTTCATTAGTTTGTTTTTTTATATAATTATGTTAATCAACATTTCAAAAGTAATGGCTGATTTTGATTATTTAATTTTCAATAAATTTTTATTTATTGTTACTTTTGTAGGTTTCAAGTGATTTCAGTGAGAATTGTGGGTTTTTCCTTCTTTAACTGAGGGGTACCAACAATTTTGTCCACGTGTGTATATATGTATACATATATACACATACATATATGTATGTGTATATATGTATATATACATATATATAAACATATATGTATATATATATATATATATATATGTACGCAGTTCCTGTTTTTTCCACCTGTGATGGATAAATGTGCATATATATATTCTGATAATTTAGCACATGGTAATCCTTCAGGCCTTCTAAGCTCCACCCTCTTTGTCCAAATATGGTCACTTCTGGCATAAGAAAAACAACATGGCGGCCCAAACAGCGGAGGGGTGAGGTCACAGCAGCGTCGTGTGTTGTTGGTTCAGTCTCTGGAGTCTGGAGGGTAAAAACTCGGACTGTCAGTAAGACTCTCTGCTGACGCCTGGTCCGTCTCAGGGTCTTGGTTCTGAAGATCAGGAATGTGACCTTCAGCTCTCTCCGAGATCCACGTCATGCTGAGGTTAGAGACCCGCGGGGCTTTACTACACGGGGCCTCCAGCGGCTCCGCAGGCTCCAGTTTCCTTCGCTCTGGTCCCTCCTGGTTCCACTTAGAGCTCTGTTTCATTATTTCAGATTTATCACTGCCATCTCTGCCAGCTGCTGCGTTTCCCCTGAAACTCGGACTGTAATTCACAGCATCTAATAACACACAAACCAGGACCTTTAAACGCTCTGGGAGCTGGACCGCTTCCCAGGCTGGACATATTAGGGGCTCTCTGGGGGCCACTGCAGGGGCCGCTGGGTAAATGGTGAAGTGTTGCCCAGAGGAGAGAGGGGCCAGTCCCCCCCCATTACTGGATATATACCACGGCTCGGCCCAGAGGTCTGGTCTGACACCCACCTAAACCCCCTCCCACTGTAGAGGAGAAGGTTCCTGATCTACTGAAGCTCCACATCTCCACTGAAACCACATCTACGCTGACTTCAGCAGAACCTGCTCTCCATCAGAGGACTCAAAACGGGCCAGAGAGGTGCTGAGAGAACCACACACCTGTTTGGTTCGTCCTCTATAATCAATCAATCAATCAATCAAACTTTTCATACATAAAATGTAACACAAAGTGTCGTCCATTCACACAGGATATTAAAAACAATGAAATAAAATAAATACAAATACAAATACCAAACCACACACACACACACACACACACACAACACACACACACACACACACACACACACACACACACACACACACACACACACACACACACACACACACACACACACACACACTATCTTGAGTTAAAAAAGACGAGGAAACTCAGGATCTGGGACTAAAACGATCAAACATAATAAAGGTGATAAAGTGTAAAAAGTTACTGAAATAAAAGAGTCTTAAAATCAAACAATAAACAATAACAGAAAGTCATTTAAAAAAAGAGGAAATAAAACTCAGAAGAGTTTCTCCAGGACTAAAATCACATCATGATGATTAAAACAAGATTCAATAAAGCCGGACTGAACAGGTCGGTCTTTAGTCTACCATCAGAACCTGTTCGGTCGGTTCTGAAACTGCTCTAGAAAGGATGGAAATGATGACGTTCCTCCGTTTTAGTTAAAAAAAGTCAAAGTGAAGAAGAAGAAGAAGAAGAAGAAGAAGAAGAAGAAGAAGAAGAAGAAGAAGAAGAAGAAGAAGAAGAAGAAGAAGAAGAAGAAGAAGAAGAAGGTTGGAGGTTCAGGGTCAGTTCGGTTCTGTGATGTTTTGACCAAACGGACTTTTCCAGGTTACAGTTGATTGACTAACTTGATGATTATTATTTATGGTGATGTTGTTCAGTGAGCAGTTTTCAGGACACTCAGCTCTCACTCTCTGAAGACCTCAGATCATCTCTCTGCAGCAGAGGGACTTCGTCCATCTCAGGGGGCCTCTGGGGGACGTTTAGCTGTTGTGTCTTTGTGCCGGAAACTCTCGTGGGGGTGTGAGGAGGGGTCTTGGATCAGGACTGGAGCCAAACAGGGGAGGGAAGCTGGGACCCCCTCCCATTACCATCACCATAATAGAATTAGGAGCGGGACAAAGCGGGCATTAGAGCGCCTGAGGGGGCATTTGGAGAAGATCCATCTCTGTTTCCTCTGCAGGCCGGCCCCCCGCTAAAGAAACGGGGAATTTACGGGCCCCTGTTCACACACACACACACACACACACACACACACACACACACACTCTCCCAGCATGCTTACTGCACATGCATGTGTGTGTACTGTGCACACACTGCTCCACCTGTCCATCAGAGAGGATTACATCTACATAACACCAACCAAACTCCGCCAAACTCTCCTCTCACTCCTTCTCCTCCTCCTCTCTCCTCTCCCTCCTCCTCTCCTCCACCTCCTCTCTCATCCTCCTCCTCTTCCTCTCCTCCTCCTCCTCCTCCTCCTCTCGTGTCAGAGATTTTCCCTCCTCCAGCTGAGCTCCATCAAACATCACTCCGTCCCCTCAGAGCGTCAGAACACTGACCTTCAAATATTTATCACAGGTTCCAGCTTGTTGTACCTGAGAGGAGGTTTACACACACACACACACACACACACGCACGCACACACACACACACACACACACACACACACACACACACCCACACACTCACACACACACACACAGCTGAAGTGTTTCTTCAGATCGTCTCTCTGATAGAGGGAACGCCGCGGCGCCGTCACGCACAAACACAGGGAGCTGTTATGAAATGGACCTGCAACTTCTGCAATGACCCACTGACACACACACACACACACACACACACACCTCACACACAGGAAACACGCTCCACACACCCTGGAATGTGTTTGGACTGGATTCAGACAGATTTGGAGCAGAGTCGTCGCTGCGAGGAAAAGAAATCACGTGTTGAACAGACTGAATCAGTCAGAGCGATTCAACAAAAGCTCTCTCTGTTTTACATGCAACATTTTCCGAACGCTCCTCCGACTCTGGCTCAGCTGGACGAAGCCCATTAAAACAATCTGTCAAGTTTCCACAACAAGCAGAGAAGCCTCATCTTTAACCGTTCCTGCTCTCTGAAGAGTCGCAGATACAGTCGGAGGTCAGAGGTCACGTCATTTATCCTCCAAAAGAAGAAAAGATCTCCTCATTTATCAAACGCAGAGCCGCTCCGCTCGTGTTCAGCTCAGAGAGGCGGGTTCTCTCGTTCTCTTTGTGAGTCTTCGTTGTGTGATAATTGTGTGTTAACTTCCTCCATGTTTATTCTGGTTTTCTCGGACACCACAGACTCTCTGATGGAGGAGCTGTTCTCGTTCAAACATCTGAACCTTTTCTTGAACCTGCAGCGTCAGAGGAACGTTGAAGGAGCAGCAGGAGGAGAAGTTTGTCTCTTTTTTTTTAAAACACGGTTTCTTGACTTCATCTCAACTTTAAACGTAAAAAAGGGAAAATTTCTGTTTCTCAGTGACTCTCAGCACATCTGTGATCCATCTCTGCTCACATCCTGTATCTGTCGGCCTCTGCTGCCCCCTAGTGCTCACACACTGAAACTATCAGTCCCATATCAACAGAGGAGGACACTGTCCGACTAAAACACTAAATCTGACTCATTTTACTGAACGGATCCTTTTTTTTTGCATTTTTTGCAGCTTTAATCCACTTTTTCTCACTCGTGAAGTTTCGTCTGAATCATAAAATCTTTTTTTTTTTTATTACTTTATTGCAAGGCTTCTTTCTTTCACAAACATAGTCAGGCTTTCATTTTACAATATTATACCTTACATTTTTTTTTTTTTTTTTCTCTCTTCCTTCCCTTTTTTTTTTTTTTTAACATACAGAAAGTAAATAACAACTTTGGAGATATGTCGATTTGGTTACTTTTTGGTTGTTATTTACTTTCTGTATGTTAAAAAAAAAAAAAAGGGAAGGAAGAGAAAATTTATGCATTTATTTTTTGTATTTTGTTTGCTTGTATGTTTTGCCTTATTTTTGGAGATATGTCGATTTGAATCATAAAATCTGAGCGTCTTTAAACTAAAATCGTTCTTTGGTTGGTTTGTAGGAATTTAAGGCTTTAAGAGTCGTATAAATCAGACGCAGTATTTGTTGTGTATTATTACTCTGTACAGTGTGTCAAACATGGAGCCGTAAGAAGACAATAAAGACTGTGAGATCATTTCTCATCCACCTCAGTTTTTCTGTTTGTCATTTTACGTTTAATATTATTTGGATGAAGCTTCAAACTAAGTTCATGATCAATGAGTTCATTTTTATTTTGGCATCAAAGTTTCACTCGATTCTGAAGTTGTAGAGTAAAAAAAATATGAACTTTGTTTTAATTAGAGGTGTTGTAGTCAGGATCTGAGTTAGTCCCAGTTTTTAGGAGAAATCTTGACTGTAAACTCGACCCCCCCAACCAGTTTAGTTCCAGTTCAATTCACATAAAATGCAGATAAATTATTCCTCCAGAGTCTCCGGTATTTACGTCGTTTTCTTGCTTGTGTCGGCAGTCGTGGCCAAAGGAGGATTCGGACAATTTTCCGAACTTTCTGGTTGGTTTCTACTGTCCGATATTGTAGCACGCTAACTTTGTTTGGGCTCCTGAACGACACGGGGGAGCAGCGTCTGCCTCACAACCAATCAGGTTAGAGGAGGTGGAGAACGGCTTTGTTTACAGTCAGAAAGAGCGGACCGCTCAAAAATGTTCAAATGTTGACGACACAGACAGAAGAGAACACAGAGATATCGATATATTACCAAATAATCAATAACTAATAACTATTGACTGATATTTAAATGCTTCTTTAACAGATTCCTGTCTACTTCACCTTTAAGTTCAATAAAAAACTTCAATAAATGAAATTATTCCTCAAACTCAGACGTGTTAAAGAAGCGTCTCCATGTTTCCTGTAAAAATCTCTCATCAACAAAGAAAAGATGTTTCTATCGTGTCGATTTCATGAATGTGGAGTAAACAGACGGGGGTTAAGAACTGAACCCTGAGGGACTCCTGGATGATCCTTAAGTACTTCAGGTTTTATTGATTTAAGAGCATTAAAATCTGTCCGTTCATTCAAACAGCTGTTATCACTGTCTTATAAATCTGAATTTAGGAGTTCATCCTTTTTCTTTCATTCATAAAAAGGTTCATCTCTGTGTTGTCAGAGTTCTGCTGTCCTGTAAATGAAGATTTCAGCCCTCGGCTCGGTCTGCAGTCAGCATGTGGTTAAAATCCTCGGGGTTCAGCTGGACGTCTGTCTGTGAGGCTCAGGAGACGAATCTGTCCTCTTCTCTCTCTGTTGGTGGAAGTTTCCTGTGATTGATCACCGTGTCAGCGTTACAGCAGAGCACATATTTTACTTTGAATCACACCGGAGACAGACCGAGCACGTGCGGATCCTCAGGAGTGGAGGCACTCCACCGCTCCTGGGCCCCCTCGGCCCCCCTAGCCTCGCTCTGACACAGGCCCGGCGTGCCGGTCATGGAGGAAACACTCAGACTGCGCTCCACTGGAAACCAAAACATGCAGGAGAGTGGGGGCGCTCACAGGAAAGAGAGGAGGGGGTTACAGCAGGGTCTGTACACACACACACACACAGGTGTCCTCTACATCCTCCCTCAGCTCATACAGCAGCTTATAAAGAGTCCGTTTCCTTCATGATGGTCTCGGCCTCCCTCCCTCGAACCCCCACAGGACCGTCTCAGAGAGGGGGGGGGTCATCTGTGACATCTCTGTTCCCTTCAGAGCCGGACGTGACGAGGAAAAACGAGAAACACTTTCATTACAGAGGCCGACGGGAGGGGGGGACCTTCAGTCTGGGAGTCCTGGTCTCACTTTTCCTCCTCTGAGCGAGAAAAAACGAGAAAGTACGACAGTAATGTAGATGTTCACCGTGACAGTGTTTAAGAAGTCTGGACTCACACCTGACTCTAACTTTGTTCTCCTGAGTTCAAAAAGTAAGGAGCACAAAGAACTTTAGAGGATCAATGAAAACTGATCAATAATATTTGCCTTATTGATCGACCTTAGTACTATTATTAGAAATCAATTTTAGGTCTTTTGGTCACATGACAGTGAAGTTATTGAAGGAAAACAGCCTTTTCTGAGAACATCAACCGGTAATTTATTGACGGTCCCTTATTCAACACCGACGTTGACAGTGAGGGTGTCGAGTAGATTTAACCGCGCTGCTGTTGTTATTCCCGGTTATGGAGAGTGAGAAGACACCGGTAGATCCTCAGAGAATGTCCGTCAGATATCCAACCTGAAACTAACTTCACCGCCGTATTTACAGGAAAATATATCCAACCTAAAACTAACTTCACCGCCGTATTTACAGGAAAATATATCCAACCTGAAACTAACTTCACCGCCGTATTTACAGGAGAATATATCCAACCTGAAACTAACTTCACCGCCGTATTTACAGGAAAATATATCCAACCTAAAACTAACTTCACCGCCGTATTTACAGGAAAATATATCCAACCTGAAACTAACTTCACCGCCGTATTTACAGGAAAATATATCCAACCTGAAACTAACTTCACCGCCGTATTTACAGGAAAATATATCCAACCTGAAACTAACTTCACCGCCGTATTTACAGGAAAATATATCCAACCTAAAACTAACTTCACCGCCGTATTTACAGGAAAATATATCCAACCTGAAACTAACTTCACCGCCGTATTTACAGGAGAAAAAACATTTAATTTTTTTTATTTGCACACGTGACCTTAAAGACATTTGACGATTCACACACATCTATTTTTAGTGAGAGTGAAACGGTCGCACTGTCGAGGCCTGTGATTGGCTGTGTCATGATCAGCTCAGATCTCTGATTGGTGTTATTTTAACGGACACTCCTGGACAGTCTCTGGAAACGTCCTTCTTACTCGTCTGTGAAACAGGAAAGTCTGAATGTTGCAGAAACTCATGAAGTTTTTCCCTGAAAAGAAGCTTCCTGTCTCACGGAGCGAGTGGATTTCAGAACTCTCCGCTTTGTCGTTCAGTTTCAGTTTTTGGTCGATATTGTAAACTCGGTAAAAACATGGAGAGGAAACGATTAAACCCTGAATATAACAGACGCGTCTCAACAGTCCTCCTCCTCTTCTCCACGTCTACACACAGAGCGTCATTAACACCCTGGACTGGTTCTGGGTGATCCGGTCTAGAAGAAGTTGTCCTCTCTCCCAGTCAAACCCTTTTGTGTCCTCAGCTTGGATCCAGTCTGAGGTTGTGAGAGGTGAAAGCAGAGCAGCAGATGGAAACGAAGCTTCCAGAGAAAGACTGATGGAGCAGCGTGAACATGAGCTGGCGGGATGTGCGACCGCTTTCTTAGAGACGGAGAAAAGCTGCGACAGACAAACAGAGAGAGAGAGAATAAAAGGATCAAGTGCATTTAAGGTGGAAGTGCTGTTATCGGAGCCATTTGGCGAGCTGGGTGGTTTCCTGAATTAAAGCAGTTAGACGGAGGAGCAGAGGCCGTGCATGCTGATGAGCTGGCTCCAACGGCTGGACCTGCTCCCCGCCACTTTTTCATGAAACCATTAAAGCCGCACAATCAGGTGGTCTGTGTCTTTTCTTCAGCCCAGCTTCCATTTCTGCAGGAGGGAGAAAAAAACACACAAGACGAATGTGAGGCGGAGAGAAAGGACGAGGAACGGTCGGACCCTGGAGGAGAGCTGCAGCCAGCTGTTGGACCTCCTGAGCAGAAAGGAGCTCATTAATTCACCCGGAAGCTTCTGGAAAAGGAGCTCATTCACATTTCACACTTTGATAAATGAAGTAACGTACAAATTCAATCTACCTGAGTCTGAATTTAAGGAGGAGAGCTGAATACAGCAGCACAAAGAGACTGTCGGGAGAGAAGCAGCAGCAGCGCCCTCTTCTGGTTACAGCCCTGAATGGAAACAACACAACAACTACAACATGAAGTAATAAAAAATACTGATTTCAGTTCAGCCAATCAGAGGAGAGGAACTGCAAATCAAACTGCAGTTAAATCCAGAAAACAGAAATAAAAGATCTGATATTTGAGCTGCAAAGAAAAAACATTTTCATCGTTTCACAAAAACACAAATATAAATATAAACATAAATATAAATATAAATATAAATATAAATATGAATATAAATATAAATGTAAATATGAATATGAATATAAATATAAATATGAATATGAATATAAATATAAATATAAATGTAAATGTAAATATAAATAAAAATATAAATATAAATATAAATATAAATAAAAATAAAAATAAAAATATGAATATAAATATAAATATAAATATAAATATAAATATAAATATGAATATGAATATAAATATAAATATGAATATGAATATAAATATAAATATAAATGTAAATGTAAATATAAATAAAAATATAAATATAAATATAAATATAAATAAAAATAAAAATAAAAATAAAAATATAAATATAAATATGAATATAAATATAAATGTAAATATAAATATAAATATACATATCTGCTCTTTATGGATCAGACTCCAGGAACGACCAATCACTGATCACCTGACAGACTGTCCAAACTCTTGGAGAGGAGCGCCCTCTTGTGTCCACACTGATAGAAAGCAAACACACTGAGAGCTGAAGTTCAGACAGATTTTATTTGTTCTTCTCAGACTCAGAAAGTTCAGGGTTTCAACATGAACATGGACGACAGCAGCAGCAGAGCGACTCCAACTACAGCCCACTGATGAAGACGACTACATCTACACCAGCATCGTTAGTCCCCAAAATAGGCCTGGGTTGCCATAGCGACAATTTTTCTGGGGTCAGCTGTGACATGGAAAGAAACAGGACTGTGCAGGAGGACTGAACGGGTCACACTTCAACACACGATCACCGAGGAGTCACATGATCAGCGAGGAGTCACATGATCAGCGAGGAGTCTGCAGGGTCTCACAGCTGGTCTCCAGAGCAGCAGGTCTGTGGGAGAGTCCAGCTGAGAGACGGTTACCGTGACGAGCAGCGAGAGACGTCTGCAGAGGAATGTATTCACCGACATCACAGGGAGAAAAAACACCGTTAAAGGAGCAGGTCACTGTTTTTATGACATCAGGGAGAACAGACGTGTGTCAGCCTGGAGCTGCAGGTTTCTGTCGACTCAGTTTGTCTCACTAAACTCAACTAAAGGTGCAGTCCGCTGAAAAACACATCTGTGGGTTTTGGCTTCACTTTGGTGTACGTCTGACATTAAATCATCGGGGGGGGCATCGTTACGTTCAGAAACACCAGATTTCCTTCATGTCATGATCAGAAGTGCAGCAGGAATGTTGGAGCTTTTCAAAGTAAAACAGGAAATGTGTCTTTTTAGGAATAATCATTAATCTTAGTTTTTTTTTTCTTTAAATGAACATTTAAAATCACATCAACACTTACAGATATTATCATTATTATTATAATTATTATTACAGGCACCAAAAACAAATCTCAACAAGCAACCGTGACGAAACTCTGCAACCCAGAAAACCACAGAACGACATCAACGACGTGTTCGACTAAACCAGAGCTAAGGTGTGTTTGTTTAGGGCGGTGACATGCACACGCACACACACACACACACGCGCGCACGCACACACACACTCCTTGTCTTCTCTCCTGACGGAGGTAAAGTTTCTGACGTCTTCACTCTGTGCTCTCCTCGCCCAGCTCCACCTCCTCTTTTCCCATGATGCTCTCTGTCACGCCTCCCTCTCCCTGGAATAACTCCTCCAGCAGCGTCTCCCCGGCGCTCCCGGCCCGTGACGCCCACAGAGCGGCGCCCTCCTTCAGACCCAGAGAGCGCAGCAGGCGAGCGTAGTCCACGAACGAAGCTTCGATCAGTTTATGTGAAAAAAACAGACGTCAAGGAAAAAAACAAACACGGTGAGGGACTTCCTGTCAAAGATCTCTGCTGGTTCTGAGCATGCTCAGTCTGCTCCAGTGATCGAGCAGGTGTGTGTCCTCATCCTTTGTTCATTGGACAGAATCAATCTGATCTAAAGGTGGTGTAGTCAGGATCTGAGGAAGTTCTAGTTTTTGGGAGAAATCTTGAATGTAAACTCTACCCCTCCAAACCAGTTTTCCCCTCAGCTCCTCCTCTCCTCTCAAACCCCGCCCACAAACAGACGCTCCTGCTCGCTCGTATCGTTCCGATTAAATTCAGATTTAATGCAGATAAATCCTTCAGATCCCCCAGAGTCTCCGGTATTTACTTTGTTTTCTTGCTTGTGTTGGCAGTCGTGGCCAAAGGAGGATTCAGACAATTTTCCGAACTTTCTGGTTGGTTTCTACTGTCCGATATTGTAGCACGCTAACTTTGTTTGGGCTCCTGAACGACACGGGGGAGCGGCGTCTACCTCACAACCAATCAGGTTAGAGGAGGTGGAGAACGGCTTTGTTTACAGTCAGAAAGAGCGGACCGCTCAAAAATGTTCAAATGTTGACGACACAGACATAAGAGAACACAGAGATATCGATATATTACCAAATAATCAATAACTAATAACTATTGACTGATATTAAAATGCTTCTTTAACAGATTCCTGTCTACTCCACCTTTAACGGTCTGAAGTCTGCCCCCTACTGTCCGCTCTGATACTCTCTCTGGGTTTTGTTTTGAGGATGTTTCTGAAGTCTCTCTGAACTCTGGACCCTCCCTCACTCTGACTCTTCTCTCCTCCTGTAACAGGATGTCTGTGTTTGTTTATTTCTCCCTCTCTTCCTCTCCTTTAACTGTTCTCTCCTTCTTTTCCTTTATTTCATGAAAACAACGGTAACAAACAGAGAGAGGTCGAGGTTCTGATGGACCTCCTAAAAGGATATTGGACGTGTCGTTGGCCTCCATCACTCCGTACTTCAGACAGGCCTCTATGAAGAGGGCGGCGCGGTCAAAGTGTCTCATACTGAGGAGAGAGAGACACACACACACACACACACACACACACACACACACACACACTATGATCTAGTGTGTTAAACTCCTCGTCGGTCTGTAGCTCCTGACCTCCTCCTCTCTGCTCGACTCACCTGTGCAGCATCTCTCCCACTTTATAGAAGCAGCCCAGACTGAGCAGCACCAGGATGGCTTTGGACTTCTGGTTCACCTGCGAGGAGCAAAGATGCTCCGCCCACCGCTTCAGCACGTCTGAGCTCTCAG